AAAGTACAGGGTTTTCATAAACGTGGATGACTAATAATAGTACATGGTCTTCCATAAACATGGATGACTAATAGTACAGAGTTTTCCATAAACATGGATGATTAAAAGTACAGGGTTTTTCATGAACATGGATGATTAAAAGTACAGGGTTTTCATAAACGTGGATGATTAAAAGTACATGGTTTTCCATAAACGTGGATGACTAATAGTACAGAGTTTTCCATAAACATGGATGATTAAAAGTACAGGGTTTCATATTCATGGATGGATGATTAAAAGTATAGGGTTTTCCGTAAACATAGATGATTAAAAGAACAGGGTTTTCCATAAACGTGGATGATTTATTGATCAGTATTCTAGGATACTAGATATATTATAAGTGTTCTAGGTTACAAGATATATTATCAGTATTCTAGGATACTATTTATATTATCAGAATACTAGGATACTGGACATAGTGTTCTATATATTATAAGTATTCTAGGAAACTAGATGTATTATCTAGGATACTAGTTAAATTATCAGTATTCTAGGTTCCTAGATATATTATTAGTATTCTAGAATACAGGATATATTATCAGTATTTAAGGATACTATATATATTATCAGTATTCTAAGATACTATCTATATTATCAGTATTATAGGTTACTAGATATGTTATAAGTATTCTAGGATACTAGATCATCAGTATTCTAGAATACTAGATATATTATCAGTATTCTAGGATACTATATATCAGTATTCTAGGATATGATCTAGATTCTACAAAAACAAGTGTGTTTTAAGAGAAATGTGGTGATAGGATAATAAGGCAATTTTGTCTTATTAGTCATTTAATAAGGGGAGGAGGGGGAGGTGGTGGAAGGGGAAGTGGGAGAAGGAGAAGGTTGTGGAAGGGAAAATAAGTTTTCCCGCCTGATAGCATAAAAAATATACACATGCATAGGAGGGTATTAAAAAAGTATAAACTTTAATGAATGTTGAAAACAAAAAATTTGTATATTTAAAACATTTTTAGATACAATTATTTTAATTTTTATTCCTTTTAGTCGGATTCAGGTCTTAAGCTTGATTTCCGTTGTAAGTTTTCCATGCCTCATGCCTGGCCACACAAATTCACAATGATGGTCAACTCAAGTCAGAAAGTGGAAATTGAAGAATTCCTCAAATTGTCCACAAAACTTTGCAGTTAAGCTTAATCTCAACAAGATGCCTGCTCTGTTCTTTTAATGCAAACAGATCTACAGAGATAAAAAATATATAAAATATTTAAAGGATGATTGTTAAAAACTAAATTTTTAAATATTTTTTTTTTTTTAAATTAAAGATTTAAACTTAACTTAACTCGTAATTTCCAATAATATTCCATATTGATGTCCGATACACAACGGTAACAAAAAACGTTGAAATTATCCCTAATCTTCCCTTTACAATTTGATTATTTTTAATCACGATTAAAAATCAGAAGTCTGGTTATAGAAACAATAGGATTAAATTGTGATTATTAAACATCTTTCAAGCTTAAAAAAGACAATATCTTATTAATCAGATAAGGTTTTCAGTTGTTAATCTTTCCATGGAGGGTCTATAACGCTTACTTACATTCCCTTGAAATATGATTTTTCTTTTTCAAGTTTGCTCCCTTGTCATTAACTAAACTAGACAAGCTACTGAAGACCATTAAACTGATTTATTGCGTTTACGTGATTATACTTTACATAGACTAATACTTAAACGGTTTTTAAGAAACATTTACAGTGTGCCCCGATAAACAGGATGTTGTTACAGTGTGCCCCAGTAAACAGGATTGTTGTTACAGTGTGCCCCAGTAAACAGGATTGTTGTTACAGTGTGCCCGAGTAAACAGGATTGTTGTTACAGTGTGCCCCGATAAACAGGATTGTTGTTACAGTGTGCCCCGATAAACAGGATGTTGTTACAGTTTGCCCCGATAAACAGGATGTTGTTACAGTTTGCCACGATAAACAGGATGTAGTTAGAGTGTGCCCCAATAAACAGGATGTTGTTACAGTGTGCCCTGATAAACAGGGTGTTGTTACAGTGTGTCCTGATAAACAGGACGTTGTTACAGTGTGCCCTGATAAATTGGATGTTGTTACAGTGTGCCCCGATAAACAGGATTGTTGTTACAGTTTGCCCCGATAAACAGGATGTTGTTATAGTGTGCCCCAATAAACAGGATGTTGTTACGTGTGCCCCGATGAACAGGATGTTGTTACAGTGTGCCCCAATAAACAGGATTTTTGTTACAGTATGCCCCGATAAACAGGATGTTGTTACAGTTTCCCCCAATAAACAGGATTGTTGTTACAGTGTGCCACGATAAACAGGATGTAGTCAGAGTGTGCCCCAATAAACAGGATGTTGTTACAGTGAGCCACCATAAACACGATGTTGTTACAGTGTGCCCTGATAAATTGGATGTTGTTACAGTGTGCCCCGATAAACAGGATTGTTGTCACAGTGTGCCCCGATAAACAGGATGTTGTTACAGTTTGCCCCGATAAACAGGATGTTGTTACAGTGTGCCCCAATAATCAGGATTGTTGTTACAGTGTGCCAGAAAAACAGGATGTTGTTACAGTGTGCCCAGTGAACAGGATGTTGTTACAGTGTGCCCAATAAACATGATGTTGTTACAGTGTGCCCAAAACACAGGATGTTGTTACAGTGTGCCCCGATAGACAGGATGTTGTTACAATATGCCAAGATAAACAAGATGTTGTTTCAGTGTGCCCCAATGAACATGATGTTATCACAGTGTGCCCAATAAACAGGATGTTGTTACAGTTTGCCCCGATAAACAGGATGTTGTTACAGTGTGCCAAGATAAACAGGATGTTGTTTCAGTGTGCCCAGTAAACAGAATGTTTATACAGTGTGCCCAGTAAACAGGATGTTTATACAGTGTGCCCAGTATACAGGATGTTGTTACAGTGTGCCCAGATAAACAGGATGTTGTTACAGTGTTCCCAGTAAACAGGATGTTCTTACAGTGTGCCCAATAAACAGGATGTTGTTATAGTGTGCCCACTAAACAGGATTCATGTTAAAGTGTACCCCTCTAAACAAGATTGTTGTTACCGTGTGCCCCTCTAAACAAGATTGTTGTTACCGTGTGCCCACTGAACAGGATTGTTGTTACCGTGTTCCCCACTAAACAGGATTGTTGTTACAGTGTGTCCCTCTAAACAAGATTGTTGTTACCGCGTGTGCCCCACTAAACAGGATTGTTGTTGCCGTGTGCCCCACTTAACAGGATTAATGTTACCGTGTGCCCCACTAAACAGGATTGTTGTTACCGTGTGCCCCACTAAACAGGATTAATGTTACCGTGTGCCCCTCTAAACAAGATTGTTGTTATCGTGTGCCCTCTAAACAAGATTGTTGTTACCGTGTGCCCCACTAAACAGGATTGTTGTTACCGTGTGCCCCACTAAACAGGATTGTTGTTACCGTGTGCCTAACAAGGATTTTTGATATACCTAGTTATTAACAAACTGCAGATAGTTTTCAATCCTAATATATTAGTAAACGAATGGTTAGTTAATGAAACTTTACATTTTACTACAGATTTTACATTTACATTTACATTTTACCACAAATAATGAGACTTAAGAGACGATTGTTCGACATCTCTACTGTTTGTTTTCTTAAATTCACGATTCATAATTAGACCTTGGGATCGTCCCATTGTAAGAGTTTCCGGTCGTCTTTACCATCTCTTTCTTTATGGATAACCTTTAGATCACATTAAAGTTAAAGTTTAAAATATGGTTGCTTACAATTTTTACACCTGTAAAGATTATTGGGTTTTAATCTTATTTTGTTTAATATTTTAAGGGGATTTATGTAAAGTCTGTTGTGTTGTGTTTTTAAACGTAAGCCATCGTACACTTCAGATGTTCTACAATTTGAACACAGTTTTAGAGATAAAAACAGGGAGTGCTCTGTCGTCGATATCGATAATGGTTTATAAATAGGGTGCCAGGCATTCTCCTTTTTTCATTGAGTTCAACTTAAAATCACGCGCGTATACAGTCCTTTAAGAAAATATTCGGATTTAATTTTAAAAACTAGGTTTGTAGGACGCTTCTCGCCTCCTTTTATATTGACAATTTTAGACGGATCGGTTCGACCGTTTGGACGTTTTATGGAGACGAATATTCAAACTAAATAGATTGGGTAATACATGTTAGGATACTTATTCGTTATAAGAAATAGGATTTCATAGTTTCGAATTTTGTACTTTTTTGGAATTTTGTACTTTATTTGGAATTTTGTACTTTATTTGGAATTTTGTAGTTTATTTGAAATTTTGTGCTTTATTTGGAATTTTATACTTTATTTGGAATTTTGTACTTTATTTGAAATTTTGTACTTTATTTGAAATTTTGTACTTTATTTGGAATTTTGTACTTTATTTGAAATTTTGTACTTTATTTGGAATTTTGTACTTTATTTGGAATTTAGCCTGAGAACTCAAATTTTTGTTTAACTTAGCTCAGAACATTTCCGCGTTTCTGCCGATTTTTTTTATCAAATGTCAAAATACAAGACTTACGCTAATTAGTCATTGCTATTTGCAAATTCAATCGTAATCCTAGATTACATCGTCGTTACTCAACCTCCAAACCTGCAGATTACAAACGTCGCAGTAAATTTGTTGAATAAAATATTTGTATCTTATCTGTCATAGCTCTGACATATTTCTAAGCTAAGAAGATTGCCTTTAATACAAAAACTTAGTTTCCAGGCAACGCTGGGTTTCCAAGCAAGTATGCGTAGTTATAATAATAATAATTTTTCAGATGTCAGGATAAAATATATGTACATATACAGATGCGTCTTATGTCAAGGATTTTCTTTTTAGCAGTAATTATCCTGTTTAATTTAAATCATCTATATTTCATGAACAAGTGTTTCAATTTCAAAAAATAAAATCTAAAGACGTAATTTTTTTTATGTTTTTAGAAGAAAATGAATTTAAATTTGTTGAATTTATTGCTCTGTATTCCTGCTCTCTATTGCTTTCAGGTTAGTAAATATTCAGATCATGCATCATGCTGTCTAGTGTCTAGTGTCTAGTGTCTTGAGTCCAGTGTCTAGTGTCTAGTGTCTAGTGTCTAGTGCCTAATGTCTAGTGTCTAGTGTCTATTGTCTATTGTCTAGTTTCTCATGTCTAATGTCTAGTGTCTAGTGTCTATTGTCTTGTTCAAGTGTCAAGTGTCTAGTGTCTAGTGTCTAATGTCTAATGTCTAGTGTCTAGTGTCTATTGTCTAGTGTCTAGTGTCTAGTGTCTAGTGTCTAGTTCAAGTGTCTAGTGTCTAGTGTATAGTGTCTAGTGTCTAGTGTCTAGTGTCTAGTGTCTAGTGTCTAGTGTCTAGTGTCTAGTGTCTTGTGTGTAGTGTCTAGTGTCTAGTGTCTAGTGTCTGATGTCTAGGTGTCTAGTGTCTAGTGTCTAGTGTCTAGTGCCTAATGTCTAGTGTCTAGTGTCTATTGTCTATTGTCTAGTTTCTCATGTCTAATGTCTAGTGTCTAGTGTCTATTGTCTTGTTCAAGTGTCAAGTGTCTAGTGTCTAGTGTCTAATGTCTAATGTCTAGTGTCTAGTGTCTATTGTCTAGTGTCTAGTGTCTAGTGTCTAGTGTCTAGTTCAAGTGTCTAGTGTCTAGTGTATAGTGTCTAGTGTCTAATGTCTAATGTCTAGTGTCTAGTGTCTAGTGTCTAGTGTCTAGTGTCTTGTTCAAGTGTCTAGTGTCTTGTTCAAGTGTCTAGTGTCTAATGTCTAATGTCTAATGTCTAGTGTCTAGTGTCTAGTGTCTAGTGTCTAGTGTCTAGTGTCTTGTTCAAGTGTCTAGTGTCTAGTGTCTAGTGTCTAGTGTCTAATGTCTAATGTCTAGTGTCTAGCGTCTAGTGTCTAGTGTCTAGTGTCTAGTGTCTAATGTCTAATGTCTAATGTCTAGTGTCTAGTGTCTAGTGTCTAGTGTCTTGTTCAAGTGTCTAGTGTCTAATGCTAAATGTTTAGTGTCCATTGTCCTTCTTTTCTAAATTCGTTTTAGATTCGAATTTAGCTTAAAATTTCTAAGAATAAAGGTGCCAAGTGTAATTTATGAAAATAAAATTTTGGGGGGGGGACCCATGTAGTAGTAGTTGACATTAAATTGTCGGCTCGCAAAAATATGGACGATTTTAAATATTTTTTTTTTAGATCGCATTATTTATTTTTAGGTCTTAATAGTTTCAAGTAATTCGATTACAAAAAATAATTTTCCTATATTTTTTAATATTTATTAAAAAATATTCTTAATTTTGTTTTTGAGCTTTCGGCAAAGTTGATATTTAGGAAAATTGTAATTTGAAATTATTTACTCTGTAAACCAATTACAAGTAGATACGTACAAAACGTTTGTAAAATATAAAACATTTAAATTATGACGGAGGTTTACAATACATTGTTTGTAAACGTGACTTTATCAAAATATTTGGTAAGACCTATGCTTACATAAAAATAAAAGAAACGTGAGACAAGTGTTTAAAGGGACTGTAAGGGAAAAATGAAAGGGGGTATAGGCTGAAAGCTAATCACTTTAGCTTTTCATCGAGACCCTTGAGACGCCTATCTGAAGTTCCTAACTCGAGAGTTGATATAAAGCTGTTTCAAACTTGTACGAAAATGCATATATATACAATTTCGTATAGAAATAGTAGGTAGGTTTTAAAAACACTTAGAAATTAAATTGAAAAAATATAATTGTTGTTAAGACTACATCACCCCATGGGTTCCTTTAAAAAAGATCAGCCTTTTCACAAATATAAATTAATATAAAACAAATATAAATTTTTATGCAAAGAGCTTTACTAAAATTAAAATATGCATATTCAGCCATACTGAATNGTGTTGTTGAGGGCATGGGGTTTTTTTTCATTCATTTTTCATTTTGTTTCCACAGCAATTAAATAAGTTTAATAAGTGTATATATGTATATTAATCCCTCAAAAAATAGAAAATAGAAAAACAAAAGTAAATAATTGAATTTTAATCGATCTATTTTTTTCCCCTTTACTAAAAAGGTTTTTAACATAAATTCAATTGTGGAAAAAATCTTACCTTTCACAGTTCTCCAAGGTTTATCGAAGGGAAAAGATTCAGGAAGAGAAAGAATTATTTGTACAGCTAAAAAAAATAATTAAGTATCTAAGTTTTACCCCTGTTTTACTTATAATTACTTATATACAATACCCAGAATTTGGAAAATAGGTCAAAAAAACAGAATATTAAGGTCAACACTGAAGAAATAAAACGCGGGGTAGAATTCTGCAGCTAGGCTTGTATGTTTTGTTTTGCAATGTTGTCTAGCTCATTACTGGTAAAATTGGTAACATGTATAAGAAAAATTTGAAATAGTTTTTATTTGTTTAGTTCAAGATAATTTTTTCGAGCTATAAATAATTAAAAATACTTAATATCAGCCCTGACCTATAAAATCCGACTATATGTTTATTTTTCCCGCAGAATTAGATGATTTGAATAACTAAAGAAAGTACAATAATTTTAATCCACCCCCCCCCCCNCTGTAAAATCCATGGCTGATAAACTTCAAGGACCTTCTAATCAAGTAGAAAAAACAGAGGTTAGCGAAGTCAGAATAGAGAATATTGAAAAGTGTTCCTTAGCTTCACCTCCTCAGAGTAGAAAGCCCTATGTGATTCAAAATGCAGACAAAATAGTAATTATCGAACATTTTCATGGGAACAACTTTACAATGTAATTATGTAAACCCGAAAAGAATGATGTAATATAATATATTTGATGACAGCTCAGTAAAGCTGTATGTACATGTTTTGATCTTTCCTAGATCAAATATTAAACTAGGTGTAGTTTACTATTTTATTCAAAATTGATTGAGAGAGCGATAAATGTAAAAATAAAATTAAATTAGAGAACTATTTATTTGATAAATCTGTATGGATCACAGGGAGGATAATTACTTATCCTCCCTGTAAAGAGGGAGGATAAGTAATTATCCTCCCTGTAAATAGGGAGGATAAGTAATTATCCTCCCTGGAAATAAAAAAAGGAGGGAATTAAAGGTTGGTTATTTCGTTGAACAGGAGATTAAAACTTTAATGACTAATTGAAATATTTAATTTTGGTTTGTTACAGGAGATAAGTCAACAATTAAATGTATTGTAATGAATATTGCTACTATCGATTACAATTACGGACATAAATCTTCTGGTTTGTCGAGATCAATCATTTGCTCAGAGAAAGGGAGTGTACAAATATATTTGTCTTGGTCTTCGTTTCATAAATCCCATTAATGCTCTCTTTCTATATGTTTTTATATATCTCGCAGAGTATGAATGAATGTGATTTATCAGATTTTCATAGATAGATCTAAATACATCTGTTTATGTTTATTCTTGTTGAATCAGTTTCCTATGATATCTGAGGAGTTGTGTTTCGTCTGTCCGAATTCAGTCTGAGCTTTCTGAGCAGCTTCCTCAATCTCAATATCTTGTTTTAGCTGAATTTGAAATTCGGGGATGATGATGTACCAAACCTCTGTAGAGTGAAAAAGTAGATGTTAGTTCCTAGGGTTTCCAATCGGAATTCCGTTGCGTGGAATTGCGCGGAATTGCGCGGAATTGCGCTATAATTGTGAAAAAGGAAGCAATTAAATACTAGTGGAATTGCGTGGAATTGCATGGAATTGCGCGGAATTGCGTGCATCGGAATTGGTTTCATATCTAAAAATCAATAATTTTAAATGTTATTTACGAATTTATGCAGCAGATACAAGAATGGAATTAAATATCTCTGTTTCAATAGTTTTTTAAAGTTTCTTGTGGTTAAGTTACTAATTAACAATTTCATATGATACATTTTTCAGTTGTTCACTTTTTTTGGTTAAAATTGTAAGGTTTGTTTTATCAAAATTAGATATTTTGCTAAAGTGAGAACCAGAAAACTATGGTACAGAAAGACAACATCACAGTGTATTTAATGTTAAAGTTACAAGTCAAACGAAATTAATTAGCAACTTATCAAATCACTTATTCAGTTACATGGGTCTGCTTGAGTCTAAACTGTCGTCTTCCTATGCCTGAGTTTTCTGGTTTTCATGCTGCACATGAATATCATAAAACGAAAGATTAAGTTTAAATTCAATTTTCTTAGCATTTGAGAGTGAAATATTATCAAATTGAATATTTTGTTGTTGAAAGGAATTGTGCAATAATTAATTGCATTTAAAGCGTGCCATAAGGTTTAAATTGAATTTTTTTAAATTGAAACACAACGCAAGAAAATTGGACGGAATTGCGCGCAATTCCGTTGCGTTTATTTGCGCGCAATTATTACGGAATTGAGCGCAATTAAATTCACTTGCGCACAAGGGCTCGCAATTGCGCGCAAGTAAAATCTACTTGCGTTGGAAACTCTATTAGTTCCACATTTTATTGAAAATATATTTAGGTCAGTGCTAAAAATTTTGTTAAAAATCACAAGAAAATTAACAAACAAAAAAGATTATTCAAAATAAAAATTTGGGCTGTCAAATGGACATAAGGGAAACGAACTCAGTCTCTGCTATGCTAGCTGTTCAATGCTGGAGCTGCTCCTAGAGTCTCTGCTATGTTAGCTTTGCATTACCAGAGCTGCTCCTAGAGTTTCTGCTATGCTAGCTGTTCATTACCGGAGCTGTTCCTAAAGTCTCCGTTAGCGGTTCATTACAGAGCTATTCTTAGAGTCTCTGCTATGTCAGCTGTTCATTACTGGAGATGCTCCTAGAATCTCTGCTATGTTAGCTGTGCATTACCGGAGCTGCTCCTAGAGTCTCGGCTTCTTTAGCTGTTCCTACAATCCGAAATGCTTCTAATGCATTCTCAGCTGCTTCCTTTACTAATGGAGCTTCTCCTGAAGTCCCTGCTATATTATCTGTTCTCTCTATCTGAGATGCTCTTTCTGTATTTTCAGCTGCTTCCTTGCTGGACTCACAACAGGTCTGTGAAAAGCTGTTCTACAATGAGCGGCGTCTCCGTATTCCGGATCCTCTGGAGAGTATAGAGCAGTCTCTGATGTACTGGCGGGGTAATCCAGTTCTCCTCTGCATACACTCTATCTGCTCCAAGTCTCCAGTAGCTCTGTTCATAGAACCAGCTGGAGAATATATCTTGACCTGTGGTTGGATTGGCTGGTCTGTAGTTGGACTTGTTTGCCCTGGATATCCTAGTTATCTTGTATATCCTGGGTATCTTAGTTATCCAATATGTACTAGACGTCCAAGTTCTGTTATGTGTCTTGAAATTCTTAGTTCTCCTGTTTGTCCTTTAACTATTTCTACAACTGATACGTGAATATCTGTCTGTAAAGAGCAGCGTCTCTTGTCACAAGATTATCTTATTCTTCTATGATGGGTATGTGGAGAGCTGTCTGTAAAGAGTAGCGTCTCTTGTCTTAAGATTATCTTATTCTTCTATGAGGGGTATGTGGATAGCTGTCTGTAAAGAGCAGCGTCTCCTGTCTTAAGATTATCTTATTCCTCTATGATGGGTATGTGGAGAGCTGTCTGTAAAGAGCAGCGTCTCTTGTCACAAGATTATCTTATTCTTTTATGATGGGTATGTGGAGGGCTGTCTGTAAAGAGCAGTGTCTCTTGTATCAAGATCATCTTGTTCTCCTATACTGGATATGTTGAGAGCTGCCTGTAAAGATCAGTGTCTCCAGTATCAGGTTTAGATTCTGCTCCTGGAGTCCTAAGACTGACTGGATCTTCTAGCTGCTCTAGATATATGAAGAGCTGCCTTTAAAGATCAGTGACGCCAGTATCAGGTTTAGATTCTGCTCCTGGAGTCCTAAGTCTGACTGGATCTTCTAGCTGCTCTAGATATATGAAGAGCTGTCTGTAAAAATCAACGTCTCCAGTATCAGGTTTAGATTCTGCTCCTGGAGTCCTAAGTCTGACTGGATCTTCTAGCTGCTCTAGATATATGAATAGCTGTCTGTAAAGATCAGTGTCTCCAGTATCAGGTTTAGATTCTGCTCCTGGAGTCCTAAGTCTGACTGGATCTTCTAGCTGCTCTAGATATATGAAGAGCTGCCTGTAAAGATCAGTGTCTCCAGTATCAGGTTTAGATTCTGCTCCTGGAGTCCTAAGTCTGACTGGATCTTCTAGCTGCTCCTGTTATATGAATAGCTGTCTGTAAAGATCAGTGTCTCCAGTATCAGGTTTAGATTCTGCTCCTGGAGTCCTAAGTCTGTCTTGATCTTCTAGCTGCTCCTGTTATATGAAGAGCTGTCTGTAAAGATCAGTGTCTCCAGTATCAGGTTTAGATTCTGCTCCTGGAGTCCTAAGTCTGACTGGATCTTCTAGCTGCTCTAGATATATGAAGAGCTGTCTGTAAAGATCAGTGTCTTAAGTCTCTGGTTTGGGCAGCATCTGATACCTTGAATATAAAAAGTGTGAACATTTTTGAGATCATTGAACTTAAAAACTTGAATTCATTTGAAACTATTTTTTAGATTTACAAAAATTTAATATTTTATTTATGCCCTAACGTGGATCGATTCTTAAAAATCTTGGAGGGTTAGACACTTAAAAAAAATATATTGGAAGCACGAGAATTTTCAGGTGGCTTGGACGAGAAAATGAAGAGTGTGGCTCGGACTAGAAATTATTGTGGCTCGTATTTCTCCCCTCCTTCAAATATATTAGTAAAAAAGTCCACGAGTTATTCAATGTACATGGTAATAACAAGAAATCTGTAGAATAGGAAGACACCATTAAACCAAGACTAAAGGGGATTTGATGTTATAAAGCAAATAGATTTTCTAGTAACTTATATGTTGAATCACTTAGTATATAAGTGAAATGGGTTTGTATATACTGCATTATTACTGTGTCTCATGTTCATCGGATCATTTAAAGTCACATCTTCAGTCTAAAACTTCTTACAGGGTTACCCACAAAGGATGTGACTATAAAGACGACCCAAAACTCTAAGAATATATGCCGATTTGAAGCTTGATTTTTTGTTTCTGCATTCATTGGTGTATTTTGATGGTTTAAAGAATGATCCCGTTATCACGAGTTTTCTGATTCTCACCGTGTACCTAACCATTAGAGTATGAAATTTAAATACGAGGAACTAGTAGTATATATATATATATGTCGGAGGTTGCGTGATTATATCAAACAAAGGAAATAATATGTTTGTCACAAAATCACAAACAAAAAGTGAGTTGCTACTTTAACGTGATTAATTTAATCATTTCTCATGTATTTATCTAATTGTATTTACCTATTCATATTTTTTATCTTATCTATCTAAATTATTATATCTTACCAGGCTTTTAACAGGGAATAGGAATAAAGCTTTTAAGGGCGCTTCGCGCCCATCTTATATTTCAAATTTTATTCTGTGAGCATCTTCTCTTTGTATAAAACAATATAAAAGTTTACGAATTTACTAATATTTTTTCGTGCATTTTAAACTTTAAAAAAATAAAAAAACTTTGAGACACTCATTTTGTATGCATAAACCTTCCCTGGGGTCATGTGAGGTCCCACACAAAATTTGGTCCTATCGGTTCTGTCGTTTTGACGTTTATTGGATACAAACAGACAGACAGAATAACAGACAAGCAACGTATATAATATATTTACAAATAGATAGATGTACACTGCAGTACAGTGGCGCTACTCGGGGGAGGGGGCAAACCGAGTTTCGCCCCACCCTCAGAAAATTTCGCCCCCCTCTAGCCCCTCCCCCCCTAACTGGACTCCAGCATCATCAATGATCATGATTGTGGACCATCTTTTATCAAGTTTAGCCATAGAAGACAAATACCAAAATATAATATGGATCATATGAGACTATTAGGAATTATGCAGACTATAACAGGAAAACAGGGTAAGCCCTTTACTGGCAAACAAGGACAGAAGGACTTCGATAAGAAAAACTAATATGGATTATGGCCAGACGAAATGTAGTCAAGCACTGCCAGGAACTACTCACTACTTAGGACTGCACAGACCTATGATTAAGGGACTAGATACTGAACAAATATGACTAGTGGATGAATTACAAAAAAACTGCTGTAGACTGTAATAGGGGACTTTATATACACAGTGAATATGACTAAGCCAGGGACTAACAGACACTAAGAAATACATGGAAAGACACTGGAAGAACAGAAATATTTTGGCGCTTCGCGCACTTGTTTAATTTACTAATGTCATTCGTTTTAAAGCTGTTGAAAGTATTTTTTTTGAAACACAAAAACAAGCCAAGGATAATATAAAAATGGCTTATATATTAATGCGCACAGAACCAACCCTTCAACAATTTTAAAATGCTGTTTTTTTACTTCAAATCCTAAAATTGCAGGGGTTTTTTTGAAAAAAAAATCAACTCAACAAAAATTTCGCCCCCTCTCACAAAAGTGCTAGTTGCGCCACTTTGCTGCAGTGTCCCTCTTCTAGCAACAATTTAAATGTTTATATATTGCGCCCAAACTGCGATTTTTTATTCGTACTTTTAAAAGTCAAAACTCTAAATGTTGCGATTTTCTTATTAACATGTAATTAGATTAAATTTCTAAAATCTAAGAAATTGACATTATTTTCACGGGAATTATTTTACCTTTAACCGCCTATTAACCTCTTCTTGCCAGAAAAAAATTGGGCCAGATCGGTTCAGACATTTTGACGTTAAGTGGATTTAAACAGACAGACAATAAGCAAAATTTATAAATATATTCATCTCATTTATTATTAATATCACATTATTTATTTATTTAGGAATCTACTGATGTACTTCCTCCAGTTAACTCTAACCAAATCGACGAAGCTCTTCACAGTTCTTCAAGGTTAAGATTTTATAAATTCCACTCAGTCGTCTCTTCATTCACATACTTTCTGGATAACCCTGTATTACAAATTTATTTTAAAAATGTTGTACAAAAACGATTTAACCATGATTGTCAAAATCATTTCTAACATTTCTTGGGAGTGGGACACTCAATAGTATAGAAGTCACAAAAGTAGAAATCATTTTACAAATAAATTAGAAAGTATAATGTTACGTTATCCTTTAAAAAATATTTTAACAAATTGTAAGTGAAAATCTAGATATTTAAAAGACGACATTTTATAATATATTTGTGATCAGGCATTATTTAATAGAATTTTTGTAGACTATACAACATCATTTTAAGCAATTAAATATTTGCTAAAGGACAATTGTTACACCCTTGCGAGTCGATTTTTTCAATTCATTCGTTATTGTCCGTGAACGACCCAATTCGTTTTTTTTCAATCGTTAAAAAAATTGATTAGTTAATGCTCAAAATTATTGTTCATTTTCCATCTAATTCGTTCGATTTCTCACTAAATGAACCGTTCAGTAAAATCGTTAGTAGACGAAAGTCGTTTGTTCAATAAAAGCGTCCATTAAGTAAAAATAGTTTTTTCAAGAAATTTTAATCGAACAAATCATTGATCCAATATAAACTATCTATCAATGACTTATTATTTTCTCCAAAATTATGTTTTTTTCTCTCAAATTTTTTTTTTTTTTCAAAAGTGTATTTATCATTCCACGGGCAACGCCGGGCACTTCAGCTGGGAAAAATTAAAATACTTTCAAGGCTGGAAGGACGAGGATGGCCTAAATACAGCAGATACAGAAGACAGCAAAAGAATCAGAGAAATAAACCAAGGAAGGCAAAGCAAGCAGGTAAGGAAGGTAAGGTTATAAAAGTTTGATGTTGATCCCAGCAACCAGAGACCAGAGTTTACGTGGTGTTAAACTCTGCAATAGTCTTGCAATAACTGGGTGATAGGGTTTCCAGCGAAAAAAAATTTGCGAAAATAAAATGTTCGTGAAATTTCGCTTTAATCTGTTTCGAAAAAATGCATAATGTAATAAAACCTGACTACCATGCAATTTTAAAATAGGATTTACATCTTAGATTCTTGTGGAGCTTATTCAAAGTCTAAAAACATTAATTGTTATAAACGGACCTCAAACAAATGCCCATTATTAGATGGCAATACAATCGCAGAATTAAACTTAATTTTGACAACTTTGCTGTTATTCCATCCAATTCTGTTTCGTGGAATGCAGGGGCACACTGAGGGTTTATCCAATTGGGCATCCTTTTTTTTATAAAACCCTCAGATGTGGTGTACCTGCATCCCCTTGTTAAATGTCTATCAGAAATTTTTGTTGTTTTCGTCTGTTTAGAAATCCCTGAGATGACTTGTGCTGCGCCTTGCTCATGCGTTTGTCCTTCATCCAAACCTGAAACTCAAAGCACATATAAATCCAAACCATCAAGACCAGCTGAAACACCAACCAAAACAGCCAGCTCTAACCCAAAAGATGTTCTTACTACCTACAATGCTCCTTCAAGACCAGCACCCTACTCTGTTCAAAAAGGGACAGTTAATGTATTGCCAACAGTAACTTCAGGATCAGGAGGTTCTGGTTACTCTGCACCATCAGCACCAAGTTCCAGTTATTCTGCACCATCAGCACCAAGTTCCAGTTATTCTGCCCCATCAGCACCAAGTTCCAACTCTGCACCATCAGCACCAAGTTCCAGTTATTCTGCACCATCAGCACCAAGTTCCAGTTACTCTGCACCATCAGCACCAAGTTCCAGTTATTCTGCACCACCACCAACTAACTCTGCTAATTCTGGCTTACAGGCATCAAGTTCTTCTTATTCTGGACCAAAATCACAATGCTCTTCTAATTCTGGAGCATCGGCAACAACTTCCTCTTATTCTGGACCACAAATGCCTGGCTCTTCTTATTCTGGAACACAAGCTCCAAGTTCCTTTTATTCTGGACCACCTACACCAATTTCTTATAATTCTGCACAACCAGCACAGAGCTTGTCTTATCCTGGTCCACAAACGTCAATTTCTTCTTATTCTGGCCTGCCAGCACAGAGCTCTGGACCAACAGCACCAAGTTCTTCCTATTCTGGTCCACAAGCCCCAAGTTCTTCTTATTCTGGTCCAAAAACATCAAATTCTGATGTAAAGAAACCAGCTTCAGAATCACCTAAATCCTCTTATTTATCATCTTCAAAACCATCAAAACCTACTTCCTACACTAAACCTTCACAGCTATCTGACCCGGCAACTCCAAGTTCTTCTTATTCGTCACCTTCTGCATCAAGCATTTCATATACTTCGCCATCTGTAGAGCAACCTGGATCATCATATTCCATATCAATAGGGTCCTCTTCACCTGAATCCAGTGGGTCTACAAGTGGTAGTTCCGGTGAGTCCTATTCTGGAGCTTCCAGTTCATCTTCAGCAGGTTCACCAACCGTATCTACTTACACACAAACCCAGGAGGTTTCCTATTCCCCCCCAGCAACCTCATCAAGTTTGTCCTACTCTGAACCTGGGAGTTCAAACTCTGCTTCAACACAATCAGGTACGTCTGAATATTCTGCACAATCAAGCTCCTCTTTCCCAGGTATTACTAACAAAAAAAAACTGTTTGACAAACCTTTTTAACTAGAAAAAATAGGGCCCATCAATCATTATTTATGATTTCATTGGATCCACTCCTGATGCTTTGCAGATAGAGAAAAATAAAACATGACAATAACTCTCTTAACCGTATCCCTGCTGGGGTACTTGAAAACCACGATACTCTGGGTGGGGGGTGGGGGGGGCAATTTGACCCCCCCTTGAAATCCCGTGTTCGATGTCCAAATATGACAACTGATACATCATTGGAAAGCTATAATGCTCTGCTTTTAGAATCCGCAAAAAAAAGGAAATTTGCAAAAATAGATTTTTTTTACAAAAACCAGTTATTATAGTAAAAATGTTTTCAAAACAATATCCAAAAATGATCAAAATATACATTTTTGAAAAGCTCTTGACCATGCTATTTCAAATATGCAAACAAATTGCTAAATTTTAAATAACCTTATATGTAATTAAGAAAAACTAAAAATGTGCAAATTTCTTTGAACAGTTTGCAAAACTTTCTTTGCAAAACTTGTTTAATCCTCTTCTTTATGTTATAGGCTTTCTAAAAAGCTAAAATTTATCAAAATCTGACAACTGAAAGTGGGTCAAAACAATGATTAAGTTTGTTACAGGGAAAATTAGTCATTCAGGCAGTGTGCCTGAGAATTCAGGCAACTGACTAATTAAAAGATTGAACACGATTTTTGGTTTTTAAAGACATATTCTATTGCTTATTTAATATTTATTTTTTAAGGATACCGACCTGGGATAGGGTCAGGTAGTACAATAGTATTAGGACCATCTACAGGGGCTGGAGCTGGAGACATAAAATATGTATATTCTATTGATTCACAGGTATAATTTAAACACAGCAAATTGAACATAATCTTTTTTTAACTATAAACTATGCGTAAAAAAACATTAACGAAAATACCATACCTTTCTTTCTGATTTTTCTTCAATTGGTTTTATAAAAAAAAATCTTGAGATTCTCTCTGTAAAGTTTTATGAGATTTGATCAAAATTTTCAGGTATCTTATCGAATTAATAATTCTTTTACCAGTTTTAAATCGAATAGTTAGCTTATTTATAATTTTTTGTCAGCGGAATCATTTCATAATAAAAAGATTTACAATTGACACATACTTTAAAGATTTTGTAGGTAAAAACAAACGATAGGAAATTTTCTAAATGTATCATAAACTTCGGTTTTTTTAAAACACTAGTTAAATATAATTTTATTTGTAAATATGAGCGAAGGGCTTTATTTTATTTCATACACCCTATCCCACATAATATTAGGTCGTTAATAGCTAAAAATTGCAATTTTCGGGACTAATCAGAAAATTTTAAAATAATGAATCATTCCAGAAAAATAATTCAGGCTAATGAAGATAGAAAATACTAGGGTTTTCGAAAACTATGTGCGTATTTTGGCGTTAAAGCTTAAATATGATATGGGACGCGCTCTAGATTAAAAATACATTAATAATTGTATCCTAGATTGCACCAGATAAAGATAAAGGAGGGAATCCAAATTCTTTAGAATCTTTCCCTGCATCCTTCTATCAAGTATGTATAAGTATTTAAAAACTTACGAAGTTTTAAGGATCTTTCCCTGCATCCTTCTATCAAGTATGTATAAGTGTTTAAAACCTAACCAAGTTCTTTAGGATCTTTCCCTGCATCCTTCTATCAAGTATGTATAAGTATTTAAAAACTAACGAAGTTATGTCTAATTATTATGCAATAATGCACAACATAAAGGCTGACTTAATCTATGTGTTTGTTCATGTAAGGACGTCATTTTAATCTATATTAAAAATATAAATATATTAAGGCAGGTTTTCTTGATCTTGAAAAATTATAGATGCTTTTTTTGTCACTGAATATGATAATTATAAAGAGTTGGGCATTAATATTACAAAATATCCGTTTGTTAGATTTTCTAGGTTTTTGACCTTATAAACAATTACAAAAATTTACGAAGTGTTCAAAATTGTATTTTTTCACTATTTTTAACGAAATTATGCAAACCTTTGACTCTGACAGAAGATGTTAATGCCTGAACGAAGCAAAGTCAATTTTTCGTTAACGATAATAAAAAGTACATAACAAAGACAAATATTTAAGTAATACAGTTTTGAATTATGTTAAACTTTTTAGAAATTGTTGATTCTTCTGAAAGCCTAAAAATATTAAATAAACGTAGAATGATTGTATAGGATGTTGATAAGGATGTATCATCTGATGGAGCTCCCTCCTCTGTGTTTACATCAGCAGAGTTCTCTACTCAAGGTATAATTGGATAGTCTAAGCATAGTGGACTATCATAGTGGTTTTCGAACTAACATAATTCAAGGCAAGGAGGCATGGTCGATTGAAGGTCCTCCAGCCTCAATTCATTTTTGTGTCTCACAGACATGCACAGATTTGTTTGATTAAAATCAATGAAATTCAATAAAAATCAATGAAATTCTAAAAACAAAAATTAAATTAAATGATTTTTGAATAACAAGAGAATTTTAAGATTTAATCGATAAAACGATTGATTTAAATCCTATTAATTCAGTTTAATTAAAAATGTAGTATAGTTCTTGTATATAGGATTATAATCAGAATTATAATCTAAAAAATTGTTAATTTTAGATGATTTCTGGAAACCTTTCTCATGGAATTTTGGTGAAAAAGAGAGGTGAACCAAAAACAGAAATTAAACATCTGCAGGGTTACCCAAAAAGGACGAGAATTCAGAGACGACTGGACAGAATTCATTAATTTCTTACATTTATGATTTTCCATCTATTTCGATCAATTAAAGACTATGCTTATAACAGTTTGTCACTTTAGAAATTTTTAATCCTTCTACGTCTGTAAAATACGAATCCCTTCAAGTACTTGACCGAATCTTAAGCAGTACAGTACACGTACAGGCTATATCAGGAATACCGGGACGGTACACCAAATGAATCAGCCCCTTCTAGAGAGTTTTTAGTGTCCAACTCATGAATTCAAGGTTGTCATTTAAGTCTCAGCCTATTCTATGAAGTTAAAGTTCTGGATTGAAGAAATCTAAATCTGAACATAAAAAAGGGTGCCTAACACTTCCCTAATATAATCATTTAAAGGAAGTGTTCGCTAAAAATGAAAGGAAGGGGGTATAAGCTTACGTCCAAAAATATTCGATGGTGATTGCTAATATTCTTCTATCTGTTGCGTCTATAAGGATTGTGTTTTTAAAATTTATATATCGCTTACAATTTGTTTTCACGGCTGGCGCTGAATTTTCGAAGTTGCCTGGAACATACGAAAATGTCGTCTTCATTATCAAAATCCTCGAAACAGAAAGAAGCTGTTGATTAAAAAAGCTTCTCTTTGATTGTTTAAATTTGTAATTCGAAATAAGATAGTAAACAATAGAAATTTGAATGAAAAAGTCGTCTTTATTGCATTGATATAACCGTAGCTACAACTAAATTAAATATTTTATTTAGACCCAGAAATGCCCGACGAGTAAACTTAAAGTTCCTTGTTCCATGTTCCAGATCTGCAGTCATGTTTGATTTAGACTTTTCAGTATCTAACTGCTAAAATTTTACAGGACCATAAAAAAGGGCATGTGCCTCTTAGACCTGACATTGCTGAAACTGAAGTTTTTGAATGTTCCATGCTACAGATTCTGTAATTTTTATTTAAACTTACTGAAATTTGAAGCTCTTTAAAAATATATAGCGAGCACCATTAATTTATGTAATAAGAAGACGACTGTTAGACCAAGTTTTGATTTTAAAAATTTCTTAAATGTCGTCTTTATATTTCATAGTTTCGTGGGTCCTATAAATTATAAAACATTTAGCGGTTATTTAGTGAAAAAAGAAGCAAGGATGATTATCACTCTGCTGTTTATTGGTGATTACTTTATCATCAAAATATGTATTTATTTATTTATTTTAATTAAGTTATCTTTCCATCTATTGTTTTTATATTATAATTTGTAATTTATCAATTTATTGTTTTTAATTATGATTTGTCAGTATACATGATATTTGGCCATTTTTGCTTGTCATATCAAGGTTTCATGTTTTCAATCATTTTCTCCTCTTTTTTCTTTTTATTGACATTGTAATCTTGAATTAATAAAACGTATTCAAATAAAGAATGTAAACACTCAGCAGAATCTTGGCCATATTTTAGAAAATCAATTTTAAAGGAACTGAGCTGAAATCTTTTGAATGGTGGATATCGAGATCATAACTTGATCTCCTCTTTTTCTTCATCTCCAGAGCTGAAAACTTTAGAATGAGATATCCTTAATCCCGATCGGTTAATTAATCGGAACATTAATAACAAGAGGCGAACAAGCATTATTTAATCTGTAGATTAAGAAAAAGAGTGGATCAAGCATTAATCCCGATATCCACCATTCAAAAGTTCCTAGCTCAGATTAAATTATAATTCTTGTTCTCCTCTTGTTATTAATCTCCAGATATCAATGCGCAATTCACAACAGTATTAAGTATCAAATGGATATCAATGTTTTTAATTTTGAAATCTGATTAGTTTCTATTGTTGCTTCTCTACAAACGTGACGTGCTACAAAGAAGAATTTTTGTTTAGAATTTAAAGCTTGAAAAACGACAATATACTCCAAATTATTGGTCAGAAAAAGGCTTCAAGGGTACCATTGTGGATTGAGCATTGTCATCTTTGCATGGAGGGTCACTTAAAAAACGCTTACAATCCCTCCAACATGTTGCTAGGAGAGTAGGCTGTGAAAATAGTTTAAATTTAGAATAAACTAAAAGACTGGGAATTTTTTCCTCAAATAAGATTTATAGTTTATCTTCTAAAACTCCATAGAAACGATATGTTCTGAAACACATGTTCAATCTTGAATCTCAGTTTCTAAAGTCAATCATTTTTACAATTTTTACTTAAATATAAAAGGGACTGTTAAGGAAAAATTAAAGGGGGTTTAGGATGAAACCAAAGCACTTTAGGAAATGATCGCGACCTATATGAGTTTTCTCTGATGTTCATGTCTCGGGACATTGATACAAAACTGTGTCAACTTTATACCAAGGCTCATATGTACATGAGAGATGGCATAGAATTCAAAGATTTAAACAGATCATATTCAGCAAATACGGAACAAATCTAGAAAATTACTATAAAACAGAGGACACAGATTTGTTTCAATATAAAGTGCTTAGGTTTCAGCCTATGCCCCCTTTAATTTTTCCTTAACAGTCCTTTTAATGCAATCATTGCACAACAACCCCACTCTATTTCAAAATATTTAATGAATATAAACTATTTTTTCTTTTAAAACATTAATCTTGTTTTTGTGATTTACTATGCAAATATTGTTATCTTAAAATCCAGACGTATTTCTGAACTAATCGCACATCATAATAAGGATTTATTGTTTGCCTTTAAAAAACTTCAAAATAGAAATTTTAAATATTTTTCTAAAATGAATGCTTAAAAGTTCTGTTTAAAATTGATAAGAAAACATGCACATTTTGAAGAAACCCCTGCTTACATAAAGTATTAGTTCTTCCCTTTAACATTCAGAATTCGAAGTCTAGAATATATTCTATTTACCTGAAGTGAAACTACATGTGCTCCCCCCTCCATGTTTAGTTCAAAGGTTCTGCAGACCTTTAATCCCAACTTCATGAAACTCAGGTCAAACTTCAGCTACTCGGCATCCAAAGTTCGGACGTGTATACCATTGCAGTCATCTTTGTTTACCGGTGTTTATTGATTTCTAAATTTCGCAAAATTGCAGTTTTTCTCTACTCTTTCGAAACATGTGTTGAGACAAATGATAAAGTACGACTATCCGATTGTTGTTCCTTAGCTTTCAAAGCTGTTTTACTTCAGATGTTTCAGTTTTGTTGGGATGGTTAAATTCTTAAAAACAATTTCATTTCCTTTCCTAAGAGAAGAGAATATAGTCTACAAATTTAAATGTGTAGATTTATTCTTGACCTCTATCTTTTTTAGAAGTATATATGCTTTTTTGGACGCATATAGTATAAATTGGTGGATTTTTTACTGGAGGATCAACCGTGTTTTTATTTCAGCAGGTGCACTTAAACAAGTTTAAAGCACAATTGAATTAAAAACATATCTCCCTCCCCCCCCCCTCTCTCACTATGAATTTTAAGTTTCAATGGAATATAAATGTAAGATAAATGTGACAAAATGTAAAGACAAATCTAAAATGTTATCTTTGTCTGTTACATTTTTTAAAAATATAAATGGTTGAAGTTTTTTCTTTTTTATTTTAAGATAAATCATGATACTAATTTTTCTGAGACTATAGAATACATTATAAACAAATATATTTCCCCTCAACCCCTCCCCCTTCAAGAATTCCCCCGGGACCCGGACCCCCCCCCCCCTACATCCCCTTTTAATATTACGCATATGTTTAAGATATTATCAAGCATATGACAGATTTAGAATAAATAAAACGATATGATATCTGATAAACATCACAAATTTTACTTATAATCTAGCTTATCTATACAACTATACAATATTTTATTTTTATTAACAAGGATATTAGAAAAAAAGATTAAAAAAAACTAAAATCCAACAATTGTATATCAATTGCATGTTTGATGTGACTATCAGAGGTTGGATACTGGTTAATGTGCACATCTTTCCTCATTTCAAATCCATAATTTGTTTGCCAATCTTTGATCTAGGAGGATAATTCTACAGCTTAAAACTTCTAAGGTCTATGACGTAAGAATGCAAAGATATAGGGAAGAGAAATTAAAGTTTGTCGCGACTTTTTTAGCTAAATACAAATACAAGAACACACGTGGTAAGTTTCTACGTGACACTGTTAAGATAAATGAAGGAAAAATAATAAGATTATTTTATTCTAAAACCAGTTTCAGATTCTAAATACATCTCTCAAAGGAACATTTCAAAAACTTTTCAAAGCATTAATAAAATAATTACTTGCGACAAACTCTAATTTTCAACCCTTTTCCGGTTTCCCTAATTCTATGAACTTGCCAGTGGCTGATTTCCATGTAACAACTTGCCGGCTGCTTGATTCTATTCAGCAACTTTTCCTTTTTTTCTAAAGTTGTCGAAAGATACAATTCCAGCTCACACCAAACTAAAGTAATCTGTCAAGGGACACAATTCCAGCTCACACCAAACTAAAAAAATCTGTCAAGGGACACTATTCCAGTTCACATCAAACTAAAGTAATATGTCAAGGGAAACTATTCCAGCTCACACCAAACTAAAGTAATCTGTCAAGGGACACTATTCCAGCTCACACCAAACTAAAGTAATATGTCAAGGGACACAATTCCAGCTCACACCAAACTAAAGTAATATGTCAAGGGACACAATTCCAGCTCACACCAAACTAAAATAATCTGTCAAGGGATACAATTCCAGCTCACACCAAACTAAAGTAATCTGTCAAGGGACACTATTCCAGTTCACACCAAACTAAAGTAATCTGTCAAGGTACACTATTCCAGCTCACACCAAACTAAAGTAATTTGTCAAGGGACAAATTCCAGCTCACACCAAACTAAAGTAATCTGTCAAGGGACACTATTCCAGCTCACACCAAACTAAAGTAATCTGTCAAGGGACACAATTCCAGCTCACACCAAACTAAAGTAATCTGTCAAGGGACACAATTCCAGCTCACACCAAACTAAAGTAATCTGTCAAGGGACACAATTCCAGCTCACACCAAACTAAAGTAATCTGTCAAGGAACACTATCCAGAGATATTTAGTAGAAAATAATGTTTTGAATTTCTAAAATGTAATTGAATACATTTTGTTAATCCTTGCATAAAGTCAAAACTAGAGAAGCTACGAGGTCACAAAGTTAACTTAGAAATGGCGCCTAATTTTGTATAATAAAAATTTGCTCGCTGACACTTTGCCCGTTGCGCGGCCCGGTATCCTGGTTTTGCCTATGGTAATTGGCATTAATACGAGCTATTGTCCGGTTGACATTGATAGCTCATGATATCGTGCCCATTGGTTTGGCATTGATCAATTAAGTGCGTGTGAATCCGTGTAGACATTGATAGCTTATTGTTCCCATTGGTTTGGAATTGATCGATTAAGTGCTTGTGTCCCTGTAGATATTGAGAGCTGGTCATGCACATTGGTTTGGCATTAATTGATTGACGAGATTGTGCCATTGCTAGCTAGGTGAAACTGAATTATACCTGGATAGATACAGCTCCAAGAAACCTTTATAGAGTAGGGTATTTACTACAATCATTATTGTAAAATAAGTATCACAGGATAACTATTTACTGGATCAATTCATCGGTCCTTTGCATCCTTTTCTTAATTCTCATTTATCAATATATATGTTTGATTCATCTATCTATCTATCAGTCAACCTATCTATCTATCAATTTGCGCTATCACATGTGAGAGCATATCTCTTTATCTCTCTCCTTCAGTTCGGACTTTGATATCACCGAGGGAAGGGTCAAAGGTGTTTAAGAGAAGGAGACGTTAAAGTCTCCTGAAATTCGGTATTTTTTCTTACATTTTTGCAGGATATTTTAAGAAATTGTATGGGCTATTTTCCTTAAATATTTATGAATATTCAGATTAATTTTTTTTGTGTTGATTAATGTCTAATAATAAAAATATTGACGAAAGTTTGAAAAAACATACAAATTTTTCGTAATTTGTAAAATGCAAAAAAATTACTTCAAATATGGTCCAAATTTCTCTAAGATTTTAAATTAATGGATAAAGGCAACCAAAAAAATTAAAAGAACTGAGCTGAAAACTTTAGAATGGAATAAGTTAATTAATCTGGAGCTTAAAAACAAGAGGAAAACAAGCATTATTTAATCTCAAGATTAAGAAAAAGAGTGGATCAAGCATAATTCCGATATCCACCATTCAAAAGTTCCCAGCTCTGGACATTGTTTTCAAGCACTGATTTTCTAATCCTGATATCTCTACCAGAGGCGTATACAGGGGGAAAGGGATATGGGTGTTTAGAGAGTTTCATACCTTAGCCTCGAGAAGAAATAATTCCTGTTTACGCCGCTCATCTTTACCTTGTCCTAATATGCATCCTTTGTTAATTCAAACTATGGTTTTAAAGTTTAGAATATCTATAGTTTACTTAAAATTTTAATGACCATAATTTGTAAGATCTAAGCCTGGCTTAAGCTCAAAAACGATTAAAAATTACATTATCCATTGTGCATGTTTAAAACAAAAATTTAATATATGGAATATCAAGCCCTACAGATGATGAGGTGGCGGCAACCGAACTGAATTCCGTTTAAAGTATAGTTTGGTGAAAGATGATAAAAAGGTTGTGTAGTTTGTATCTGTTATTTGCCAGAATACCGGGGAAAAGAAAATATGTTTATATGTTAGATGACGTCATCATTATTATTTACATTCACTGTAGAATACAGATAGACAGACGATTTTACATTTAGACAGTTATTGAAGAATAGATATATATTGATAGATGTTTAAAGACAGATAGACAGTTAAATTATCATAAAATACCCCCTAGTCCTAGCATTTTCAAAATGTGGCCTGCATTTTTTGTACCGCCAATAATACAGGAGTATTTTATTCAGGCTTTCACAATTATAGTGTTTTATTTAATAAATCGAAATCTGATGGAAATACGGAATTACCAGAACTAGGAGAATTTTGTTTGAACATCGTGCATGTAAAAGAAGGTTAACAAATGAATGCAATAAATTATTTCAATGATTTTGAAGACGACCTTCAAGTCGTCTTTCTACTGTCAGCTTTCGTGGGAAACCCCAACATTATAATGCAAGGAAAGTTATTTCAGAGGTGTACGCATCTTTTGTACTGCAGTGTACTGTCTCTGGGCGGTAATATAAGCACAAGACGGATGTCAAAGCCTGACATGGGTTTCATCGTTCACATAAAAAATCGATAAAATATTCTGGTCATAGGAAACTATTATGCGAATTATAAAAATCAAATGATCTTATCTTCCTCTGATACTAGACGAACACTGATGCATCTATTCCTATTTACAAATTCCGCCCAGAGGGAACTGGTATCAACATGTACGCGGAGATTGCGCAACTGCAATTAATTTTTCTTGCATTATAACCTTGGAAGTTTGGACACCCTATCTTAGAATTGTCAACCCATGCAAAGAACATCTTCGTGGTTCTACCGAGTTCACAATCAAAACTTGAGACAAATCTGTCAAGGTTTTTCCGACATACAATCGCAGGCTCACAGAGAAAATACCTGGTTTCAAAACTGGTTTTCATAACGATACCCTGTCTTAAGTTTTGGGCTCTGTGTGCTCAGCTAGCTGTACTGTACACGTACAACTGTTTACTAATATTGATATACTATTGGTCAGAACTAAATATTTATATATTTCTTGCTATTGGTTAGGCTCGTTAGGCCTGACTCAACTTATAATAAACAAATATGCAGTACGTAACTCGGTATAGTTGATGGTTCACAGACTAGACAGACTACACTGCTTATCTTCTTTCACAGGGTGGGCTACGTAGGCCTATAGTTGACCCAGCACGACATGTTACGTTTTTACGTCAGGTTTTTAGAGTGACATCTCACGGTCAATTGTTGAACATAATACCCATTCAGGAGTTAAGTTTTACAACTTTAAAGAAATGCACCAATTTTAAACATGAAACATAACATTTGTGAATTCAGTCCTTTTTTGGAAGATTTTGTGTTTCGTATCCAAATGATCCTTAAATATCCCTGGATTGGTCGTGTACAGTACTTGTACACAATAGAGCATGCTGTAGAAAATATCGCATATTTTAGCTGATAATCGATCTCTGTAACTCTCTTATCTCTGGCCTATACAATTAGTAAAGGATTAGCTTACATCATCACTCTATACACTATAACCTCGTTGGTAGATATTGATAATTCTTTATTTTGCCACAAAGTAAGGATTAATATAAATAAAATATTTTCTTTTTTAAAGTCCCATTTAGAACTACTTGTTTTAGTTGTTAGTCATGGGGTTGTAAATCATGGGAGAAACCTCAGTCATGGGATGTGGAGGTCTTCTCAAAATGGAAGGTCAGTAGCTAGAAGGATTTTACCAAATACTTCTTTTAAACTGAAATTGAAGCTTTTTTGCAGCTTTTAAGTCTTCATATTCCTATCTATACGCGGGTAAAAGGTTTAAATTACGTCCAATGACTGCAATACTACAATATCGGCCTGGTTTTCATAGTTAATGGACAGCGTTTATATCAATACAATCGAGACGACTTTTCTATTTAAGCTTTTCTTAAATTACAAGTTTATTAGTGAACAAAGAAAAGATGCTAATTGACAGATTCTCTTTTTTTCTTGTTTGTGTGTATCACTGCTGTTTGAAGGCTTGGTAGAAATCAAAATTGAAACCGAAAGTCGTGTTCATTATATTGATATGTACTCTGCGACGACTGCATATATCTGTCGGAAATCACTGTGAATCATGCAGAATCGATTAAAAAAAAAATTTTGTTAGGCGGCGGCCTCATACCGATGCCCGGCCAGTCCTCGGTGATCCATCATCAATCAATTCATCATTCAATTATTCCCTCCAACCCTCCCCATCTTATCAGCAATTCACAGGTTCACATCCAGTCCTATTCTAAATAACCCGGAAAAATGTAAATTAATTGATTACTGCAAAGTCGTCTTTGACCTTAGAAATAGTTTGCGGCATTCATTAATCAATACGACAAGTAACCTGATTTTAGCCATATTTATTCAGGGAATAGGAATAAAGGTAAAGGAAATGGCGCTGGTCTGGCATGAGAAGGCCAGTCGCACTGCTTTGCATACAAGTTTGGTAAACCTTACACACACTCTTTTGGTACAGACATACAACATGACTACAGTCAAGGAAATTGCAGAACAATGTTGTCAATTACTATTAAGCTTGAATTACAACTAGTTTATTGTAAACTTTAATCAAATTATATTCTTTGTATGAAAATTTGGCTTATAATGTAGACTTAAATATATAAATAATATACTACATGTGTATTAAACAATTAACAATAAACAAATGACTCTCCATGACTGTACAAATACCGAGATTCGTATGTACTGTACCTGCAGTACAAACCTTCGGTTGGGTAAACTTTACATACACTCTTTTGGTACAGACGCACACACATGACGTTTCCGCCACCCTGTATTAATTTTATATATAATTATCTCAAAATAACCTAAGTACTGACATTTCCCAAAGATGGTCTGCCATTTTCTTGCTCTTAAATTTACCAGAGATATTAAGAATTGTGTTTGAATTTCAATTTATGAATGAATGAATGAATGAAAATGTCTCGTTCTGAACGAAATTATTCATATCTCCGGTAGTTATAAAAACACATAGCAGACCACATTTTGGAAATGGCAGGTCTAGGGCTATGTTATTATTGTTTTATAATTTAATAACAAATATTGCTAAAATCAGCTTACCTAGGTTAAATGCCGCAAACTATTTCTAAGGTCAAAGACGACTTTGAAGTCAACAATCAATAATTTTATATTATCTCGGTTTATTAGAAATATGACTGCAGGAAAAAAACTTGCCTCAAACTCTAGTTTCTAATCCCTATATCTTTGCTACCGCATGTTTGATATTTAACACCAGGATCTATGAGTCACTATGCTAGTTAAACCAAGGTGGATGATACAGGGTGTCCCACGAAACATGACAGTATGCAGGACGAATTGAATGTCGTCTTGAGTTTTGATATAATTTGCTGCGTTTATTTGTCAACCTAATTTTAGAAATAAATTTCTAGAGATAATAATCACAAAATTTCCCTTGTCCTGCAATTTCCAAAATGTTGTCTGTCAATTTTGTGCTTTCACTATTGCCCGAGATATGAAGAATTTCGTTGAGATTTCGACAATTTTGCTTTTATTTAACAAAATTGAAATCTGAACCAAACTCTTTATATCTCCGGTAATATTGAAAGCACAAAAAACGCAGACCACTTTTTGGAAATGCCAGGGCTAGGAAAATTATGTGATAATTGTTTCAAGAATCATACATGTTAAAGTAGATAGAAGACTAAATGTCACAAATAAATTCAAATACGAAAGACGACTTTCAAGTCGTCTTGCTATTATCATGTTTCGTGGGACACCCTGTAGTTTCCTACCTGTGTGCTCAGTTAGCTGTACTGTACACTTACAACTGTTTACTAATATTGATATATTATAAGTTAAAACATCTGAAGAAATATCAAAGGTTTCTTGCATCAAGTTGCAAAGATATATTGAAAAGACAATGAGAGCTTGAGTTGGGCGTGAAATAAAATTTCAGATAAATTGGAAACATTTTGAATTTTTTTTTCAAAGATTTCAGTCTTTGAAAGAAATATAAACAAATCAATGATATTAATTTTCAAACGTTTGATATAGTCTACACCGTTGAAAGAAATACTGTCATTGTGTTTAACCTAACTAAAACTAAAATGGCCAACCACAGGGCTCTACTCGAATTTCAAGTCATGTTCACTTCTGATTGGTTAAAGTAATTCAACCCAAAATAATTATAGAAATTGTTGTAAAACCTCATAAAATTTCAAAGAATATCATAAAACTATGAATTTTTCATACTTTTTTTAAGAAACAAACCCATAATTTTAGAAATTTACAAGTGTTCTCCAATTTTAAACTAAATTGTCAGACTATTCATTGATGATGGAGAATACCTAATTTTCTAAATTAAGATTGAATGCCTTGAATCCCGAGTATACAGAATTTACTTCAATTGTTGCCAATAGCCGGCCCATAACGGCTGGACCAAATGGGCTGAATTTTTTTTGGGGACACTCCAGGGTTGCAGGGGGTGTTAAAGCCTAAAAAAATTTGAATTTTTTTCTTCAATTTTTTTTCACTGGCATCGCCGGCCATTTAGCTAAGACTTAAAATGTATAATTGTAATATTTTGTTTTTGTGCAAAAATAAATATAACTCGTACTATGAAGGTTCACTTGAAGTTCCGTCTGCAGTCCGTTTACCGGTGTATTTTTTAGATAATTTCCCCATCAGCTGGAGAGTACACCTCCCTCCAACCTTCTCCTCATCCTCCACATCTCATCAGCAACTCACAGGTTTAAAAAAGGACTGTTAATGAAATTTAAAATGGATCTTCATAACATTTTTGAAAATGTATAGTTTCTTAAACTATGACTCGTGGATTACTACAGCATACATGACATGAGTAAGAAAATGGTCGAGAAATTTTTTATTTCGATTTAAAAACTAAACGTTTTAAAGCCTCACATAAAGCATAGATACCACATATAACAATAAGGCATATTTTCGATTAATTTCTGTCACTTACGTTAAATTGTCTAAGTTCTGCATCATCAGGTTGCAAATAACATCTAATTACTGAGCCATTTAAACAATCCTAGATTTTACAATTCCTCTATCTTTGCAAACTCAATGTAGTAGACCTTAGACATTTCAAACTATGAATAATGTTTGATCAGATAATCTTAGTTTGATGTATCAAATGTTTACACCTTCAAGTTACAAAGATATAGGGTCAAGTAAATTTAATTTTGTGGCAAAAATACAGAACCTTTGAGGTGAGAATAATCATTTCATTGAATTTAAATTTTAGTTAAATTTTCTCAACTTTGTGCATCCATCTTAATTTTTTATTTATTTCTAGCATTTACTCTCCACCTCTCCTATACATGAGGTGCCAAGCGTCGTTAATGATGAACCTGATCCTGGAGATTCTGCACAAGTCAGCCAGGTTTTTTTTCTTTTTTTGATACTTGTTTTACAAGATATTAAAGGGCCTGTTGTTGTAATCTTAAGTAACTATTTATAAAGTTAGGTTTGCTCGATATACAACAAAACCTTTATATAATATAAGGTCTTTTTAAAAGTGTTTAATTCTCACAATTCCTACATTGTTGGTCCTCTGTTTCATAATTGAGCATACAATTAGCTTTTAAAGTGTATCATTGTAAATCAGGTATACCACTCATATATAAATTGAAATTACGTGTACAGAACTTTTAAAATGTAAAAATTGAAAACGTGTAGCTAGATAATTGAAAATATATAAACAGTCCCTTTAAGAAAATAAACTAATATTTAGATGTACTCGTCCTGAGATATATAAACAGTCCCTTTGAGAAAAAAACAAATATTTAGATGTACTCGTCCTGCGATATATGAACAGTCCCTTTGAGAAAATAAACTAATATTCAGATGTACTCGTCCTGCGATATATGAACAGTCCCTTTGAGAAAATAAACTATATTCAGATGTACTCGTCCTGCGATATATGAACAGTCCAATTGAGAAAATAATCAAATATTTAGATGTACTCGTCCTGCGATATCTGTGGGGACAAAGCAACTGGGAAACATTACGGAGCATCCTCGTGTGATGGGTGTAAGGGATTCTTCAGAAGAAGTGTCAGGAAGAAACATGCTTACAGCTGCAGGTTAGTTGGGGCGGGGGGGGGGGGGCATTAATCTATTAGAATATCTGAAGTAATTTGAAATTGAGAAAATAAGTTCGAAAAATTATGAGCAAAATGTTACAGATATCTCACAACTTTTTATATCCTAACATATTGTGCGGAATTTTGATTGAAATGATTTGTAATTTTGAAGAAAAAAAATCGAAATCTCAAATAAAATTTTAGGAATTTCTTAATAAAGTTTTATAATTACGAAACCTAGTCCGTATAGTTTCGATATTGTTAACAAAGTTTCATCAGTTCTTCTAACGGAAATATCTTGCAAAAAACTACAGGGTGTCCTACGAAACATGACAGCTAGTTGGTGAATAGATTAAAATGTCTTCTTTCATAATATGTTATATTGTTTGATACCTAAGAGAGTTATTAAAAATAGTATATGGCCGTCATATTATAGTAAAATTATTTTTTAAGTAAATTACAAATAAGAAACTGATTTTTTAACAAAATAAACTGCAAAAATTCTTTAATATCTTTTACAGTATAAGGAAGAAGACATTTGAAATTTAATGATGGACCAGCGAATAAGATTTCTTCTAATTGATCAAAATCTATCAAGATTGTGAAACTAGATTTGTTTATCTTAGATTTGCCTCATGAGTTTTCTTCTTAAAATAACTATGGATATTTCAGATTAATCTTTAAATTACGCAGATTTTAAAATTCGGTCAATGTTTATAATAAAAGTGTGAATTTTGAGTTCATTTTGACCAATTTAATATAAAATTCTCTTTTAAGAAATAAAATCATTAAAAAAACAACTCTTCACGTTTACAGAATGTTGAATTGCAGTAGGGGAATGAAATCAAATTGGAGAAATTAGGGTTAAGTAGGGGTAAAATTCCCTAAAATAAGATATGATAAATAATTCTTTACAAAAATGAGAAATCTAACATATTAACTTTTGAAAATTTTGTTTAGATTTAACAGATTCTGTACAGTGGACAAGGATAAGAGGAATCAATGCCGATACTGCAGGCTTAAAAAATGCTTTAAAGCAGGCATGAAGAAAGAGGCAGTTCAGGTCTAATATTTACAATGCAATGGGACTGAGACCGAATTTAATGAATTTGAGCCACGTCGCTTAACTACCTACTGCCGGTTCAAATATGAAGGATTTTAATCGGTAATCGATTCAAATTTGAACCGGCGGCGGTAGGCTAAGAAAATTCATTAAATTCTGTCCAAGATTTAAATAATGGGGATATGTAGTTTAACCCTGTAGACTAAGTTGAACCACATCTCTTGGGCGCTGGAAATAAGTTTTTCAATTAACTTAGTCAATGAGGTTTAACTGGGCAAAACTATACAGTAGAAAGACGACTTATGAAAGTCGTTGTCGAGAATAGAAATTATTTTCGACATTCAGCAGTCAACTTAATTCTACATTATCATTAAATTTTCATAGTCACGACATTTCCAAAATGTGATCTGCCTTTTTTTGTGCTGTTAATGTAAACCGGAGATATTTTAAAACGTGTTCTTCCATAATTTTTTAAGTTGTTTGATACCAAGAAAATAATAATAAACATTATATGGTAGTTTTATTATAGTAAAATCGATTCCAGATTAAGATATATTTGAGTAAAAGATTTTTCTACCGAACTAGATTGCAAAATGTCTATAAATCTAATCAAGTATTTGGAAGACGACATTCCACACTATTCTTCAACTGTCATGTTTCGTGGGACACCCTGTATCTCCGATAATATTTGAAAAAAAAATGACTGAACAAGTTTTGAAACTGGCAAGACTAGGTGGACGTACTTGTAATATACGTTTAAATTTGATAAGCTTGACAACAATTAGGTTAAAGAATAAGTATTTCAAATTGAATTGATAAAATAAGGCGAATGAGTAGAAACTTGATAAGTCAAATACACTGTAGGGTTGTTCATCGTGTTTGAAAACGATCGACAAATGATCGTCTTTTGATTCGTTTTTCAATCGTTTTCTAAAATGACCGTTTCGTTTTTGGAAAATAACGATCGTTTTTGAAAACGATCGTTTTAATAAAAACTATTTGCGACCGTTTTTATACAATTTTTTTTAAAAAAACGATCGTTTTTGAGAAAAAAAATGTATGAAAATTATGTTGACGATCGTTAACGAAGGGTTGTCGTTAACGATGATTAATGAAACGACGAAATTTATATAAACGGTCGTTTTTGGAAAACGGTCGTTTTTGGAAAAACGGTCGTTTTTGGAAAAACGGTCGTTTTTGGAAAAAAATTACATGCATCTTTTTTATGTCATCATACATGAAGTTAAACGATCGTTAAAGAAACGACGAGTTTTATAAAAACGAACATATAAAAAAACGAACTTTTTGAAAAAACGATCGTTTTAAAAATGATTTTTTCATTTTCGATTTCAAACGATCGTTTTCAAAACGAAACGATCGTTTTACAAAAAATGTAAACGTTAACATCCCTAAATACAAGTAAAATATACATGGTCAGAATGAAAGGGAAAAAATTAGTACTTGACTAATCAGGAAGTATTTATGGTCAGAATGAAAGGGAAAGGATAAACACCTGACAAGTCAGGAAGTATTTATGGTCAGAATGAAAGGGATAGGATAAGTACCTGACAATTCAATAAGTTTTTATGTTTAGAATGAAAGGGATAGGATAAGTACTTGACAAATCAATAAGTTTTTATGTTTAGAATGAAAGGGATAGGATAAGTACCTGACAAATCAATAAGTTTTTATGTTTAGAATGAAAGGGATAGGATAAGTGCATGACAAGTCAAGAAGTTTTTATTTTTAGAATGAAAGGGATAGGATAAATACTTGAAAAGTCAAGAAGTATTTATGTTTAGACTGAAATGTATAGAATAAGTACCTGACAAGTCTATAAGTATTTATGTTTAGAATGATAGGTATAGGATGAGTTCCTTGAGTCAAGAAGTATATATCATTAGAATGAAAGTAATATGATAAGTACCTGAGTCAAGAAGTATATATCATTAGAATGAAAGGAATATGATAAGTACCTGAGTCAAGAAGTATTTATGAACGAAATGAAGGGATAGGATAAGTACCCGACAAGTCATTAAGTTGTTATGATTAGAATAAAGGAATAGGATAAGTGCCTGACAAGTCAAGGTTTATTTATGTGTAAAAACGAAAGGGATAGGATAAGTACCTTACAAGTCAAGAAGTATTTATGTTTAGAATGAAAGGGATAGGATAAGTACCTTACAAGTCAAGAAGTATTAATGTTTAGAAAGAAAGGGATAGGATAAATACTTGAAAAGTCAAGAAGTATTAATGTTTATAATGGAATGGGTAGGATAAGTACCTGTCAAGTAAATAAATATTCATTTCTAGAATGAAAGGGATAGGATAAGTACCCGACGGCAGCCTCCAGAGGACGGATTAAACGGTCAAAACGGCCTCTCAGTTAAAACTTTGCTTAACGCTGAGGTCTTGTCAAGACAGGTAAATAACCGTTTACAAGTTTGAACCAAATATTCTACCAGTACAAAAATATCCCACCTCTCAGACATGTTTGTTTTTTTGTCTCTGTTCTCTCTCATTAGCATGTGGGGCTGTAGTGAGAAGTATAGATAATGTTATTTAAATAATATTTATTACTTGTTCAATTCAAGATTGTTGTACCAGCTGTTGCTGGGTCAACTACTCTCTTTTGTAAAAACAATTCCATACTTTTCTATGAGTTTAAATGATGAAATTAAGCCTATCCTGTTCAAGCTGACTCAACAAAAACGTTGGTCTAAGGTTGTGAAAATTTGTTGACTTTTCTAGTTAACGCATGCCCATCACTTCAGGCTCTAACCTACTGCCTGAATGCCTTATTTTACCTTTACCAGACTAAATCTATATTTAAGCCCATTTCCAGTCATTGGATTTCGATATTCTATAGCTCTTTGACAAAACAAAAAGAAGTAGATTGCACAATAATTGTGAAGAAATTTTGCAAATATTTTGCACAAATGCATTTCAAAAAGGGCTTTCCAAAAGTGAATCAAACTTTAAAGATTTGTAACATTGAAAAAAACTAATTTAAGTAAAGGAGACATACGCTTGAATGAATAGGCGTTTGCAATTTGCCTAAAGTAAAAAACAAGTATATTATGGTTTTTGTTTCTCTCCAGAATCTAAATTATAATTTTTTTCGATTCATTAACAGCAAACTAAGAAGGTAGAAGGAGAAGGTGAAGTTTATGCGATATATCACCAGTTTTTATTAGAAAATAAAAACTTGTTTCTCTCAATAAGCCTTCAATGAAAGGAATTTTGATTAATAACATATAAGACTTCAATCTTACGTGAAATTAACTTTAGTTTGACGTGAATTACAAATGATGGCAACATATCTTCAATTGTTCTAGTTGTATTTATCACGTCAAGTTAAGTCAATTTCATGTTATATTAAAACTCCTCTTATTGAAGGGATTTTTAGAAAAACAAACAGGTCTGGAGTTTATAGTAAGTAACCTGCACATTTTTTGTTTGTTTTATACTTAAAATCAAAGATGGAGATACCTCGAGGACACAAAGTCGTACATGTAATAATGCATAAATTCGACCCTCTCCTTCTGTCTAGCTAAGTGTGTTATTTACTTAGGGAAATAATGCATTTGAGATTTGTCATGAACTGAGCGAATATGAGATTAATACCAAGCGTCTAGCTTCTATACCAGACATAGGTTAAATACTTATACCAATAATAAAAATAATAATAATAATGATAATTTAATAATAATAAAAAACAAATAATAATGATAATAATGACAATAAAAATAAATTATATAATAATAATGATAATGGTAAAGGTGAGAGTATGAAGCAGCAGCTCCTGATCCTAGTGGAATGGGCAAAATATATTCCTGCTTTTAGCCAGCTCACTCTTGATGATCAAGTTGCCCTTCTTAGAGCTCATGCAGGTCAACACATGAAAGGGACAGTTAGCGTAATTTCAAATGACTTTCCATATGTAGAAAGGCATGACCGATTCACAACGGTACCCTTTAAATCTTTGTCCTGACAACGATGAGGTAGATAACCTGGAGACTCGAGGTTTTACTTTCAAATGAGTTTTTTTTTTTCGTTTTTAATTTGTAAATTTTATTTATTTAACTGTTGCCAAAAAAGATACTTAACATAGATTTTTTTGTTTTGATATTATTTTAGACTTTAAAAGAAATTTATAATACAGTTTTTATTGAATTCTAAAACTTCAAATATCTCAACTTATCTCACATTTGCATGAATGTTTAAATTCATTTTCCCCTTTTCATTCTTCTGAGTACATACACACAGGCATAAATGCTTTGATTTATTTTGTCCACTATGTGAGTTACCCGAATTAGGTAATTCATAGTTATTTCTTGTTTATTTTTGAAAATGCATATTTGCAGTAGAGGAGGTTTACACAAACCTCTTTGACTTAAAGTTCAGAATAAACACCGAAATTTATTTCTTTTAATCAATATTCATTTTTGCATAGCTTGAGAGGTCGAAATTATGTGAGGAATATCTTCCATCTTGAATGCTTGATTTCGATATCCAATAAAAACACTTTGAGGATTAATCCGTCAATTACATTTTCCAGCAGCTAGTATGACCACCACGGGATATCGGAAAGGAATAAGATTAATCCTAAGATCTGCATAAGATGGAGATCAATGCTTGATCCCGGGAATTACAATGCATTTTTTTATCTGTTTCAAATTGATAAGATTTAATTTTCCATCAGATGATCAGTACCATGATTACAATACTTGAAATAAGAGAAATTAATTCTATTTCATATAACATCAGATCTTGTGTTTTGTGTCTCAGGATCAAGCATTGATCTCCATCTAATGCAGAAATTAAACTCAGTCTCTCTTTAGTATATCCCGTAGGCCATAGTGCATGGTCATACCCTGCATGGCTATCTTTTATTGAGGAATCAACCATTGCCCCTCAAATTTAAAAGTGATCACATTAGATATCGAGTTCAAGCGTTTAATATTAATGATACTCCATACAAAAGTTCCGACCTATGTTCACTATATATTGTGTACAATTGTCCGAAATATCACACTTATTTAAAGTTTTATTCTAAAGGTGAACACCTACTGTTGGGGGTGGCACGACGCTCCTTGAATTTGGAGAATATTCTCCTGCTTGGGAATGATATGATAATACCTCGGGATATCCGGGACTGGGGAGCACCCTGGGTTACAGAAACACAGGTCTAGTAAACCTTTAGTAAACATCTTATTCAAAAATATGGAATTCAATTGAATTAGAGCTGAAAGAAACTAAATCTGCAAAATCGTTTAAAAGAAAAGTCGCCAAGATCTCTTTAGATAGTTATTATTTAGAAAATTTCCGCCCATCTCAAATTTTGAAAAAGTTAAATTATAAATTGCCTCTGGATTTAAAATATTATTTACAATAAAATTGAATATTAACCTTTTTTTGTTTTCTTCAGGATCATGTGGTGCGAGATATTGGAATACGGGTTATGAACGAACTTATTGGACCTTTTAAGGTGTTTTTTTTTAAAGAGTTTGAGAGTAGATACAACTTTATTGCATTTATTTAGACTTTTGCTTGCAATCTTGGTTCCCTTCCACTGTAAGCTTTTTTTCTTTGCCATATCATAACGTATTCAAGGCAACTGTAAAAAATTCAACCTTCAAACGTACATTTCTAGCAGGTTTTAAGGTCGTCATTACAGTTTCAACGAAGCATATTGCATCGAAATTTCAATTTATTGTAAAAAAAATCTAAATCTTTTTCTTTAGATAACTCAAATGGATGAAACTGAGTTTGCTTGTTTAAAGGTGAAACAAAAATTTTCCTAATTACACATTGAACTAAAGTTAATTTTATTATTTTTAAATCTTGGATTTTTTAATCACTTTCAGAACTGTACCCTTTCAAAGAGACAGCTATAATCTTCTTTATTTTTTTCAACTGTCGCGTCGGTTCTCTTGAAAATGACTTTCGCATTTTGCTTCAGAAGCAATGGATTGTTAAAAAAATTCAATTTTCAAACTATAACAACAATATTTTCCACATTTTTGATTAGATTAACGATTAATGAACAAAATTTTGAAAAAATTAAAGATAAAATATTTATGTTTTTTTCTTCAGGCAATTGTCTTTTTTGACCCGAATGCAAGAGGTCTAAATGACGTTGAAAGGTGAATAAAAAACTTGAAACTTGTATTTTGTAAATAATTGTAAGACTATATCACAAGACAACAGATAGAATTCAACCAGAAATGTTTTAAATCATGATTCATACGTTGTCATTAATGTCACATCCTTTGTAGGTAAGTTTTGTATTCAATGGGAGGGATTTTAAAATACTAGCCTTAGGGGGCGCTTCGCGCCCATCTCTTTGTGTACATCGTAAAACAAAACAAAAATAATTCGCGGATTTTCACATAAATTTCGTGGATTTTCAAAATTTTCAAAAATTTAATGAAGATCGAATTTTGATGGAGACAAATATTTGAAATTTTGATGATTCATAAACCTTCCCTGGGTACCCTAGATGTCCCACAAAAAATTTGGGTCCGATCGGTTCAGCCGTTTTGACGTTTATTGGATACAAACAAACAAACAGACAAACAGACAAGCCAAATTTATATATAGATTTGGAATTGTTTATTCTAACATAAAATCATACCATGTTGGTTGGGTGAGGTGTCGGATTGAGGTCAATGTCCAACACCCATTTTTATTGTAAATGTTTCAATTCTTTTGTTCACACAAAATATAAATTTGAAATCCAAAACAATTCATTATGTTTTTTTTTTTCTGCAAGGTCGATGTAGATAGAAGTCTTATGTTATAAAATATGTATTTCTTTTGTCCGAAATAAACTGCTTTTTAAATATTTAATTTTTTTTCTTAAAAATAAAAAAGCATGCTAATAATGATTTAGGAGATGTTGCTGGGGGGAGCAATAAATCATAATATACAGAATCCGACATCACAGGAATATATTTAATCAAAAATCATAAAAAAAAAAATTTGTTAAATTTTTTTTTATTTTTTCCTTCTTTTCTAAAGCTTGATTAAAGGTTTGAGAAGGGGAATCAGCACCAGACCTATACACCTCTAACGATGGGTCTGATTACATCAAATAATTATCAAAATTCATGAATATTGTAAAATCCAGGCCCGTTATTGGAAGGTTTTGTAGGAAGTTGGTAGAGGGGAGGGAGCAGTGTAAAAGGTGAGACAAAGTCTTCTTTGTTTATATATAACTTGATAGTGCAGAGGGGCATGGGGCCTGCTCCCCCCCCCCTTCCCATCCCCAGTTACGGGCCTGGGTAAATTATATGTTTCTGTTTGATAATCATGTAAAGCTATGTCGCAAATAAACCTTTTCTACTCTGCAGGTTTGATTATTGTGAGAATATTATTACTTTCAAGTTTAGATCAAATAATTTGTTAAATTCCATAACTATTAAAGCTATTAAAGCTATTAAAGCTATTAAAGCTATTAAAGCTATTAAAGCTATTAAAGCTATTAAAGCTATTAAAGCTATTAAAGTTGTTGTAATTAAAAGTGACTCTATTTTGTAGAATACATTGCCCGATTCACACTTTTCCATGAATCCTTCATCTAATCAATAACATGTTTCGTCGTTTACTTAAAAAAAGTAATTGATTCTGAAATATACTACACGTTTCTTAAGCCCAAATGCGCGAGTCAATTTATTAAGAAGTCGCTTGAAATGACAAGCATTATACCATATATATATATATGCCATTTAAACAAACTGTTTTCTTTATACTCTAATGTCTAATGTCAAACAATGTTAATGTCAAACAAAAAAATTGAACATCAAAATGTTTGTGTGGAGTAAACAGTTTTTAAAAACCTGCAATATTCTAGTATATAATTGTGTTTTTATACTAAAATTTTACTAAAACAAAAGTCTTCTTCCTTGAAGACTTTTCCAAAATCATCCTTTTGAGAATACATTATCAAATTATTTCATGTTTTGTGAGTTTCTTATATATAAGTAAATTGATTGTTTTTACACAATTTAACAGAAATTAGCAAACTTTTCCGGAGTAAAAAATTCAAACCTAAAATGGGTTAAAATTTCAACAATAAGTAATATATTATTTATTTTGGAAAAGCCTTCTACTATGCAGTTTAAATATTCAAAAATAATTGCACTGTTTTAAAAAGTTTAAAGTTTTCATCAAAAAAAATTATTTTTAACGCATGTATGCAAAAACATGGCAACATTTGTTTGCAAATTGTCATTTTGTAAAACGGTTTTCTCAATTGAGATTTAGTTTTTCATGAGTAAACAGAAGTAATGAGGCAGTTTAGCAATTTTAATCGTATACAAGCTTTAGTCTATACACCCCAGTCTAAAAGTTGCATAATCCGTGCCATTACAACACGTATTGTATATGCAGTCCTGCCTACTGTCCAGTCAGTCTATCCAATGTAGAGTCGACCCAGTGCGTCGTATCTGGCCTAGCAAGGTCACAGTTTATACTCCGTTTTACAATTTACATATATGTTAGCTCTCTTCAAAAAACAATCACCAACATTTGGAATACCGAGCTTTTGATATTGGATTTTTCAAATGTGGCCTGTATTCTATATCGGCATAATTTATTGAGAATTCAGATTTCTTTTGAAAGTCATCGACAATATTTAGAAGATGCCAATGATAAAAGAGCCATTAAAAACTGTTTTTTCCCATTCTTCTATTATTTTTGAGGGCTAAACAAGTAAATGAAAAAATAATTGAAGGAGACCAAGAATTACCTGAATTTAAATTAGTCATAATTATTGTAATTTAAAAGCGCAGCACATAGAGCACATAGATTCAGCCTCCTTATAAACAGTCTCATCAATTTTTAAGACAGGGCTGACTTTGAAGTGTCGCAACGCCCTAAGCTTAAATTTTACCGCTCTAACTCACTTATGCTTTTCTGTAGCCCTTTACATGTACATTTTAGCACTGTAAAGCACTTGTTGTTAGATATGGTTTTTTAGAAGTTATTGGCAAAATTCTCAACGATTTTTGCTTGAGAGCGTGAGACCATTAAATCGCAGTGAGAGGGTGTCCCAAAAAACATGGGAATTCAGTGACGAATTCGATATTGTCTTTGTTATGAATTAGCATTGTAATACCTAATTTCAAAAGCCATAATATAATTATGTCTGCTAGATTAATTTTTGAAAACGGTATAATGGCTGTAAAGATGTGTCAATATGTATCCGTAAGTTGAACAGTGAAGACAGACAAGTGTACTCTGTTTTTATACTGCAATTTTCTTGTTTTACTGAGTACAACCGTATGCAGTCAAAACATAAACAAGCAAAATGTGAACATAGCAGACGAAACTTCTACAGATTACAGCTTTCTCAGTAGGTAGCACTATACTAAATCAAAGAATTATTTGAAAAGACGATATCGCATTCGTCACTGAATTCCCATGTTTATTGGGACACCCTGTACCCTGTAGATTCTACGATTTCTAAACAAAATAATTATTACATTTAGTATATCTTTTTATTTTCTAGAAAGCTCCTGAAAGCGTGATGAACAAATATAAGTTTAGTTTTTTTCTCCGACAATCGATAGGTTTTTGGCGATGTGCTTCAACTTCTGCTACTTTTCTTACTCGGCCTTGGCGACGGTTGCGACTGGGATTCCAGCGTAGGCATAGGGGGCATATGCTCCTAGGGCGTAGGGGTAGGCATTGTAGGCATACACATTGGGGTGTGCAGCATAGGTATAGGGGTAGGCGGCATAGGATAGAGGAAGGGTGTTGTAAACGAGGGGAGCTGGGACGGCAAGCTCATGAACGGGTGCAGGAGCCTGCATCTCAGCAAGTCCGCCCGCCTCGGCATTCTCAAAGGCAGCCATGAAGGCAGATCTGGCCTCAGCAACCTCAGGGGCATCCTCAAGATAAGCATTGGGGATTTGTTCAGCCTGGGCATCAGTGTTGACAGGAGCAAGAGCAGCATGTTCTCCAGCCTCTGCTGCGACGAAGGCTGCGTTGAAAGCAGCTTTAGCTTCGGCAACCTCAACAGTGTCTTCTACTGGAGCTGCAAAAGCAGCGACAGAAAAAAGCTAAAACGCAAAGCATGAATTAGCATATTATTTTAATTTGACAATTAATTTTAAAAACATAAAATAGATATATTGAAATATACTTTTTTAATTTCATTCTTTAAATGACTTTTTTATTGTAAAACAAATGTTAAATGTTTAATGTAAATCACAATTCAAACGCAAAAAGACATGATATGAAATATTTAATTTTTGAAATAAAAATATTAAAAGTAACATGATTTACCAGAACTGAAAGACAAAGCATGTTTGATCCAAACCTAAGGAATCTTCGGAGTAAACTAACTGTGCCCATCCCACCTCATATCTTTATATACAAACCATTCCTGGCTAGCCTGATTTTCCGCCCATCCCACCTCATATCTTAACATACAAACCATTCCTGGCTGGCCTCATTTCCCATCCATCCCACCTCATATCTTAATATATACAAACCATTCCTGGCTAGCCTGATTTTCCACCCATCCCACCTCATATCTTTATATACAAACCTAGCCTGATTCTCCACCCATCGCACCTCATATTTTTATGTACAAACCATTCCAGGCTAGCCTGATTTTCCACCAATATTTTTAAATAAAAACTATTAAAAATTATTTAAAAATATTTATGGATAATTAATAATTACATTTTTACAGAAATGTTTGAATGACCATAGATTATTGACACCTATTACAGGGTGACCTATAAAAAACAGAGATCAGCGTTTTAACGGCCAAATAATCTTATTTTCAAAAAGTTCTCTCACACATAGTTTTTTTTAAATTTTTCAAGGTGTTCAATACTTCCGTTTGGCGCAAGACTGTGTCTAATTTTTAAAAACCTGTCTTCTGACTTGAAAAAATTGATAAAGCAAACCAAAAGTTAGGCAATGTATAAGTTATTACTGGCTATTTCTAGTTATTTGTTCATTTGAATTCTGGATACATTTTTATATTCATATAGTTTTATCAAAAAATGTCACATTATTCCATTTCCATTCAAATCTATATTGCAGACAGAAAACAGCTTAACAATGCTAAGAAATCATAATAATGAATACGTATCTAGGTTATATTAAAAAACATTTCTTAAAAGGAGTGTTCGGTAATCTAATTAAATAGTTAAGAACATATTTCTCAAAAGCAATTTGTCAATAAATCAATGTTAAAATCGATTATTTCGTTTTCATTATTATATTGAATTTCTTATTTACTTTGAATTTATTCGTATATTTCTTTAAATTCTTCAAATGTCCTCTTTTCAATAATAATTCTAGAAAATCTGTAAAATTCTTTGTGAATAAAGAGGAACCAGAATAATGAGAAAATAGAAACTAATAATTGAACAAGATTACTTATTATCGATAATAAGATTAATTTTTATTGTCTCAACGTGTTCCTATACATGACGTCCGTAGTTTATTGTAGAACTTTTTTTTCATTTAATGTCGTCGTTATTTAATAATTTAAAAAAACTAATTCTGATAACGTATCCACCCCCAAAGTAGGAGTTTTGAACGTCGAATTTGCCCTCAAACTCAGGATTTACAGATCTTTAAAGTGTTTTATACGTCTTAAAAGAATCCGAAAGAAGTTTTCCGCAACAATGTGTACTTAGTTAAACTACCATAAAAGCCGGTCACTCCCTTTAAAGAGGCCCCAATTTGATGCAATGCAAAAAGTCGTCTATTTCAATTATTTTCCAAGGTTCATCAAAGCTGTTCCAATCATGGGATTTCTGCAACCAATCTTTTCTAAGGTTTCTCTTCATAAAGTTCTGAGTATAGGACTTCTAGGCTTGTAGAAAACCTAGAAGAAAAATCTCAGGGGGTTCAGATAGATTTAAATTTTTTTTGTTTCTTGAACAATATTGGTTAGCCAAAGATTTTCAGATATTCGACATAGTTTTGCACAAAATGAAAACTTATTAAACAACTACTTCTAAAATTAAAATCTATATCCTTTTTCAATAATTTCAAGCGATAACGGGGCTAAAAAAACTAATATCTGTTTTTTGGGGTCACCCTGTATATATATTAAAAGAACAGTAAAATAGCATGGTGAAGAGGAAGGTGAGAGGGGGGGGAGAGGAGGGAAGAGTGGTGATGGGAGAGGAAAGCGGGTATAAAAGGGGGGGGGGCTGATGCCAACGTTGATCTTTCTTGTTTTCAAGTTGAACATATTTGAACATCCCCTACAATTATCCTGACAAACAGAACGAGCAAGGTAAATGGTTCTAACACTTAAACTTTATTATTTAGCCAAAAGTCCGCTATATTCTAAAATTTGGACAATCTTGGACCGTCTATTTTATACAAAATCTCTTTATATAAATTTTTTAAAATTTATTTTGTAAAGTATAAATACATTTTGCTCTGCTCCCCCCCCCCCCATTAATCTTCAGCCAAACTTGACTTCTAGTTTTTTAATACTATTTTCTTCTTTATAAATGGTTATCAAAACAGACATTCGAAAATTTCCTTTAAATTTGAGACATTTTAAACATTTTGTACTGTTGAATGTCGAATGTTAGTCATGACCAGGTAGAAATGGGTATCGTTTTTTTTCGAGCGATACACTTTTTGAGACCAAACTGTATTTTTTGTGAAAAGGGTGTCGTTCAGCAAAGAAAAAAAACGATGATCGAACAAAATGGTTCAGAAACAGGAAATAATTACCATTTTTTTTTAAACGAACGATAAATGAGAACGATTTGAAATCATTCGAACTAACATGAAAAAACGAAAGTTTTTTTACTGAACGAACGATTTTTTGCGTACACATTTTTGAAAAACTATAGTTTTTTTACTGAGCGAATAATTTTAATGAACACACAATTTTACTGAATGATAGTTCAGTGAGAAAACGAATGAAATAAACGAACTAAATGGGCCGTTCAAGGTTTCAAGCTCTCACACAAATTTTTTTCATAAACTATCGTATTTAAAAACGACCGTTTCGTTTACGTTTTTTCTTAGTAGTGTGCAGTCATACACTACATCTTAGTCCTGATGTTTAAATTAAAGTAAGACAAAATGCAGTTTAAACAAATTTTTAAAAGTACTTCTGATGTTTAATTTAAAGTTAAAATGAACTGAATTGTATTCCATTTATAAAGTTAAATAACCATTCATAAAGTTAAATTACACCAGATTGTAAATACATGTAATTTCCTACACCTACACATTTTATTCATAATTCAATTAAATCACCCACCATCTTCAAACATAAACAAGGCTTAGCCGCTTCTTAGAGAAGTTAAGATGTTTAAATGTTATGTTTTAGTTAAGAATTATGACCGAAAACCCGCTATTTCATTGAAAATTCTTAAAATAGGATTGTTCAACACGCTATTCAGACTAAAAGATTTGGGATGCTGCTGGAGCCCTTAAATTTTTTCTATATGGTTGTTTGAATCTTTTTATACATTTAAATTATCCCGAAACCCGTGTGCTTTCTTGTAATTTTGCTATAAGATATATGTTTTTCTTCCGAAATACTCACTGTAACAAAGACGACATCTGAATATATTGCGGGTATACAGGATCCATTCAATTGGATAAATTTATAAACGGGAAAAGTAAGTTTAAATGGAAATCATTATTAATCAATGTTAGCTACAATTCATACAATAGAAAGAATATATTCATTTTGTCCATTCTCAACATAAAACACAACACGAAAGGGCGTTAAGGGGAGTATTGTGACAAAAACAGTCACGCCCCATGACCCCCTAAAATATTTACCGTGGGCAGGGGACTTGCATACATCCCCCTCAATGTATACTTTAGATAAGAAAAAATCAGGAACGTTTATAGAGAGCTGTAGTGATGGGCATTTTCGTTTCCAACTAAAATCTGGGGTTTCCAATGAAAATCTGGGGTTTCAAAAAAAATCTTGGAGTTTCCACGAAAATATGGGGTTTTTAATGAAAATATTGGGGTCTCTAATGAAAATCTTGGGGTCTCCAATGAAAATCTTTGGGTCTTCCATGAAAATCTGGGGGTCTCCAACTAAAATCTTTACTGAAAATCTGGGTTCTCTCCAACCTTTTTTATAAAATTTGTCCTTATTGTATTTCTTTATGATTTTTCTTTTATTTTTGTACTTTTTCATTTCTAATTTCTATGCCGTAAAATCATTGTAATCTTATATCTTTCAAATATTCTTTTCTTTTTTGATCTCATTTTCCACAATTTTTTTTATTATAGAAACCTCTCAAAAGTAACTGATAAATATAACATATTTTACAACTGGTTGCTTCTTTTATTAGTTTCTCGGAGTTCTTGTAATATTCAACGGTTATATTTTGTTGTATTTTTTATAAAACTTTTCATCTGCCATCCTAATCTGTTATAAAGCCCTTTGATCTGCATCAAAAAAACGTAAAAAAAAAGGCGACCGGAGGGGGGGGGAGGGGGTTGACGATCGTAAGAACGCTTGTATCACGTTCAAATTATTATTTTGTTCTTTGAAAAACAAAATATTTGTTTCTGATCAACAGAAATAAACCGATTCTTTAAATCAAATAAAGAAACGTTAATAAAGTTTGTTAATTCCTTCACCATACTACTGCAGATCTCACGTGTGGTTAAACTAGACATTTTTTGGCGCTTAGCACATCATTAAATTCAATGAGCCTAATAAAATAACACTGAAAAGTTTTACCAAAAACTCTAGAAATTAACCCCCTAGGAAATCCTTAGCTACGCCCCTGGACATCCGAGAGGGGCCTTATATTTTCTGACATGGGGCTAAATCATAGAAACCATAGTTTTCATTTTACCAAGGGGGTTAGAGGGGGGGGGGTGTTACTCTCCAATACCCCATAGCCGAAATTTTAGGCGAAATTTTGATGAAGTCAATGACCACTGACCAGTGAGGGGGGGAAGGCGACCCGCACCAGTTATACCTTGGCGTGCTATTCAGTAATAGAATATGCTATAATCAAAAAGAGTTAATTTATTATAAATCCAAATTTAATTTATATTTTAAAATTATAGAATTAAGACATTTTGCGGGAAAGCAAATTATAGAATTATACAATTTGGACAAAAAGGGTGAGGGTCGGACGACAAAGGGGTAAGCATAGGCCGAAAATCCCATTTTGTGATGTCATTTGCGGGCCGGAGGTAAAACGGTGCGGGTCGCCTTCCCCTCCCTTGACCAGTTGAGAAATATTGCTTAAAGCAACTTAAATATACGAACCTCTACCTCTGAACACAGATGCAATAAATATATATAGATATAGATGTAGATATAGATGTATACATATAATATATAATTATACATACCTAGTTTCCCTTGTAGACCAATGGATTAAATTAGGCACAAACTAGGCTTTGAAGCAGTGGGGGGGGGGATTGGTAAAGTAGGTTCCAATTTAACAATTAAAACAATTCAATTTTTAGTTTCATGTCTCAAAGGGATCAACTGAAGACATTATTTTAATTGACCCTCTATTTACAGTTAAATCTTATTATTCACAAGGGTACCATTAAATCTTATTATTCACAAGGGTACCCTTAAATCTTATTATTCACAAGGGTACCATTAAATCTTATTATTTACAAGGGTACCTTTAAATCTTATTATTCACAAGGGTACCCTTAAATCTTATTATTTACAAGGGTACCCTTAAACCTTATTATTCACAAGGGTACAAATAAATCCAATCATTTACAAGGGTACCCTTAAATCTTATTATTNTGAACAGTCCCTTTATTCATATATATATATTTACGGTTTAGAACTATATATATATATACGGTTTAGAAAAATTTCACACACTTTTTATTTGTAACTTTTTTATTTAACACAAGGATTTTTGCAAATATTATTCCATATTTGAAATGCAATATCCAATTCCAAGAATCAGAATAGGCAGATTAATTTTGGTTCAAAATGTATACATAAAATTCACAAATTTAAATACCAAAAGATTTAAAACCTACGAATGGAAAAAGAAAAATCTGCCAAACACCGATCCGGAACTAATCAAAACATTGAAAAAAAACTAGAAAGGAAACAATATTGGCATTTAATTCAAAAATTGATTTCCAACAATTTTATTGGAGGGGGGGGGGGGGATAGCAAAATAAATTTACTATTAATGAGGCTGCGATGTAAATTTAAGCGAGGCCATCCATTCATTCAAAAATGAAATTTACCAAAATTAAAATTTAACATTTAGATTTGAATTAATTACTAGCCATTCAGTGCGCTTCGCGGCCATCTTCTGAACAGTTTCTCTTTGTATAAATAAAACAATAAAAAAAGTTTTTGTGGATTTTTAAATTTATTAAAATTTTAATTTTGTTGGAGGTTTGATTCTTCATAAACGTTCCCTGCTACCATGTTAGGTCCCACACAAAATTCGGGTCCGATCGTTTCAGCCGTTTTGACAATTATTGGATAACAACAAACAGACACCCGGCCAGACAAGCAAATATGATTGAAAGTCAAACTTTTGAAATAGAACATGTTGCAATTAACATAACAATGAATTATAAGGCTGATTAATTTTATTTTACATAATAATTTTAAATTTTTATTATTAGTTGATTATTACACTTTTTACATTGATTATTCATAGAACATTTCCCATGGGAGGAATTTATTTCTATCATTAAAGTGGATATTTACATCAAGTCTCTAGGGAACATTAAAGTAAACTAGATTGCAAACTCTAAATAGGCTGGGAAGGGGGGGGGTGTTAGTGTCCCCCCTCCCCAATCGTTTCAATTTGATTCCTAAAAGCATCGATTTGCCGGGGAACGGAATTGGGATTTCTCAAGTATTTTTTCTTCTAAACATCTGAAATGTTATACCAAAAAAAACAAAAGCCATTGATTCAAGGTAAGTTCAGGTGTTAATACTGTTTTGAAGGGATTGTGTAATCTTAAGCTACGACCTATTTTATAATCTAATAGCTGAAGGACCCGACGTTGCCAAATAAAATGTTCAAGCCTTTTACAACCCCCGGCCACCCATGAGTGCCCACAAAAAAATCAGCTCAATCGGTCAAGCCGTTCAGCCGGCTATGAGTAACATATATATGAATGCCTTGCATTCTGTAAGTAAATTTAATATTAAGCGATGCATTGTATTTTATATCTTTTATCTTAAACAGCAAAAACGTTGTGTTTAATATGACAAATTGTGACCGAATGTCACAGCTTTCTGGAATATTGACAGAACCGTTAAATCCACGTAATATGTATTTGTAATTTCTATGATTTCTTTCAATACAGATAAAAAAAAAAAAATTTTTCGTTCTTGTTTTATTTTGTAATTTTTTATCTTGGTTTTGTTTTTCTTGATCTAAATTTGTTTAAAAGATTTTACAATTAGAGACAGTAATGAATCGAAATGCATCTTGAAATAAATTATACCATGAAGGTTTACCAGACAGATAAGAAACCTGAAATTATATAAAGAATTTCAGGGATGGATTTCAGTCATTTTTAATTTTTAGAGTTTGTCATATTTTCGAAGATTTAATCATATATCCAGAGATGGAAAAAGAATTAGGTGTAGAGGAGGCGTAGGTGGGAGGCGGAGGGGGAAAAGAAGGAAATGGGGAGAAGAGGGGGAGGTATTGAGCTAACCCTGAACCTGATCTCAATTTTATATTTAAAGGATTAGAGAAACGCTGGGCGTTGTTGCCGTGAATCTTCTTCTTTAGTTGCCAAAGCCAGGTTTCTCAACAGTTTTGCAGTTGGACCGGTCCAACATTTTTATTTTAAAAGGGTTCATAAAAACGTTTAAATTATATAACCGCCGGTAATAGGTATTTTCTTTCTCTCACCCTTGCAATTAATTGTAAAAACCAATTATTTTTTTTTAAGATTAACAATAATTAAAAACGTACCCTGCAAACATTTAAACACACAATTTATCTAAGCAAAAAGTAAATCTAAAATTTGTTAATTTTCAACTGTGGTTTCCTGTAAAAGGGACGGCGCAATAATGCAACAGAAACATAGCAAGAAATATGAGAAAATAAAAAATTAAATAAACTTTCATAATAAGTGTCCAGATGAAGGTTTAAAGGGTACCATTGCAAATCGCACTTTCCAAATATACAATAGACACTTGAAATTAAAACACCGGTCCCTTTAATCATATTCGTGTTTATGATATTTACCGGTCTAATAACTAAACAGTCCCTTTAATCATATTCGTTATCATGATATTTACCAGTCTAATAACTGAACAGTCCCTTTATTCATATTCGTTATCATGATATTTTCCGGTCTAATAACTGAACAGTCCCTTTAATCATATTCGTTATCATGATATTTACCAGTCTAATAACTGAACAGTCCCTTTATTCATATTCGTTATCATGATATTTTCCGGTCTAATAACTGAACAGTCCCTTTAATCATATTCGTTATCATGATATTTTCCGGTCTAATAACTGAACAGTCCATTTAATCATATTCGTTTTCATGATATTTTCCGGTCTAATAACTGAACAGTCCCTTTAATCATATTCGTTATCATGATTTTTACCAGTCTAATAACTGAACAGTCCCTTTAACCATATTCGTTATCATGATATTTACCAGTCTAATAACTGAACAGTCCCTTTATTCATATTCGTTATCATGATATTTATCAGTCTAATAACTGAACAGTCCCTTTATTCATATTCGTTATCATTATATTTTCCGGTCTAGTAACTGAACAGTCCCTTTAAGCATATTTGTTATTATGATATTTTCCAGTCTATTAACTGAACAGTCCATTTATGTAAGATCTGTGGATCTTTATAAACTAATGCGTGTTCAGGGTGTTCAACGTCGAGAAGTTCTCCAGCTCGTCCTACAGAGAACCCCTATCTTCAAGCAACTAATCCTACAAATCTCTACAAATACATTGAATCTACCATTATTTATCTTACCATTCAAACTACCAATCTAAGATTTTTATGTAAACCTTTTCTAAAGCCTATTTTATATTCTCGAAATTGAGTCTAATTTTCTAATATCATACATATCTTTAAATAGAACTGTCAATAAGTTTTAAAAATGCTTGAAAGTCTAGCCACTTTAGTTTTAATAATTGGTCTTGTCTTTCAGACCAAGATGGGTTAGTTGTACTTTTCTAACTTGTTTTCGTCCTCTTTCTCCAGGTTTATAAATCATCCGTGATTTAAATATTCACATGGAAACTTTTACTCCATATTGCTTGATTCTTGTATAACGGATGGTTTATATAATATGTATAGATTTGTTGTGATAATTGTAATTCTTCCCTCAAAAGCTCCGTGCATGCCTCCACGCACTGAACCAGGTGATTAATTATGAACATTAAAAGTTTAGCTTAAAAATTATCCTGAATTCTCACAACCACTTCAACAACTCTTATGCTAGGCTGGCTTTGAGTTCCTGTTGATCTAGAGCTTTATCCTCTCCGCTGACTCGCGGAGCTAAACCTATTTGCATCCTTGGTCTCAGGGATGAAGATGCTCTACTCTCCTTTCACCTACTAATCTTGACACCCTGTGCCTTGGGTAGGTCATGAGTTCTCTGCGTATACAAGACTCCAGTCTCAACGGAGTCCGAGTGCTCCTGTGTCTTTGGACACTTGGTTGAGTTCTCTACAAACAAGACTCCGATCTCAACAGAGTCCGAGTGTTCCTGTGTCTTTGGACGCTTGGTTTGAGTTCTCTACGTATACAAGACTCCGATCTCAACGGAGTCCGAGTGTTCCTGTGTCTTTGGACGCTTGGTTTGAGTTCTCTACGTTTCCTCTGATAGTATCCTAGAGACGTCTCCATCCCTACGTACCAGACCTCCTACAACCTTGGCTTGGCTGTTCTCACTTCTCCGGCATCTCCGATAGAAGGAATCTATCCTCTCCGACATCTCTGACAGAAGGACCTCACTCTGTATCCCTGATCAAAGCTCCTCTAGATCAAATGCAGTTCTTGTAATCGAGACTGTGGTGCATTCTAAACACTATAGGCTACAAACCTCCGGACAAATCAACATTGTAAGTGAATTTTTCTATTTATTTAAAATTAAACATTTGTTATATAAAATTGAATGTTTTACCTGGAGAAAGTTTTATTTTTATTTTATTTTATCGTAAAATTAATTAACCCTGGACTGATTTGTTGTGTTTTAGTTCACGGTTGAATTGTGTATTTACTGCCTATCCTGAAATATATACGTAAGATTTAATCAGTGCAAATTGAGGTGAACCAAAGAGAAAGAGTCCATGCTCGCTCTTATGTTTGTAGTTAATTACCTGGTTCCTAAAGGTAAAATTTGAGCACAATTTAATCATATTCGTTATCATGATATTTTCCGGTCTATTAACTGAACAGTCCCTTTAATTATATTATTAGCTTCTATTCTTTTAACTTCATTTGAGAATGTTCAACGAACCTATTAAAAAATTGGTCGAACTGTAACAAAGAAACATAATATTTTTTGCTGACAAATATAATTATAAAATAAAAATTTAATGTTTAAAAACCACGAACAAACAATAAAAATATTTTAATCTACAATTTAAAAGCCCCAATTATACCGTGCAGTTCCAGTATAATATACAGGGTGTCCCAAAAATAGTATATCCTTGATCAAAAATGGGAATTTGAGTATCAGAGCTCGGAACTTTTGTGTTAACTACTCACAAACCAAATCCTTTACCCTGGATATCCACTGTGGGACCTTTAATTTGAGGAAATCAACATATTCTACCAGTTTAAATAAGAGGGCTGTTTAAAATGGCGGAAACATATATTAAATAATAATAATAATTAATAATAATTAAATAAAGGGTGTTTCTAGTAACAATTTTACTTCTTAATTGTTGCTTTTTCTATTCGCCTTTCTTCATCGTTCTCAAATAAACAAACCATTTCCCGATTTTCTTATTAAAATCAACAGTTTTTTCTAAAATGAAAAATGTATTCGTTTTTATCCAAGGCAACATTTTTATTTTTAACATTCATGGGCTCTATTGGTTCGCCCGTTATTTACAGAAAGACAAACAAGCTAAAATATTTGTCATTAAAGCTTCCCATGGATTGTTTCATAGCAGAGAAAAGAAGAAAGACAGAAAAATTTCAAAATAATTCAAAAAAGATAATCACCAGACAGAAATGCTATACGTTGATGTAGAACAAAAATATGCAGACATCATATTTATCTAAAACCAGAAATTTATCATTTGTACTCATCTATACTGAGACGCGTTGATAAAAAAGCCTTAGGCAATCTATGTGTCTACTGTCTATAATTTACGGGCTAACTAACGCTAAATGTATACAGTCTACTGTCCCTATGCTATCTTTTCATTTCTGTCTACTATTAAACCTTAGCCACTGTCTAATTCTGTTTACTGTGCACAATCTACTGTCTACTGTTTAATTTTCTATTGTCTACTGTCGCCTGTCGCCTGTCGTCTGTCGTCTGTCGTCTGTCGTCCGTCGTTTGTCCACTGTCTACTGTCTACTGTCTACTGTCTACTGTCTACTGTCTACTGTATACTGTATACTGTATACTGTTTACTGTCTACTGTCTACTGTCTACTGTCTACTGTCTACTGTCTACTGTCTGCTGTCTATGATCTACTATACTGTCTACTTTCTACTGTCTACTGTCTACTATCTACTGTCTATATACCGTCTACTGTATTACTCCTCCACCTATTACGAAACCCCCTTGAAATGAATGACATTGACCGTTAGAGAACCGGACAGGGACAGGGGTTTCTTCTTGAAATCTTAAAAATAAGGAAAATTTAACGAATTAAATTTAAAATAATGAAGATATCATTGAAAAGAGAGAGAAAACTTAGAATAGAGTAGCATGACAAGAGTATAGAATTAAATCATAAAACTATAAACATCACAGTTGTTGTTTAATTGTTTAATGTACCATGTTTAGTTATATAAGAGCGTACATGCGCCGCATGAAAATATGCGCGTGATTCGTTAGCGGGCAACAAGACAGGTAAACGCCCCTCCCTCGGGCAATTTAAAATGGACACTTCAGATTTAACAAAAAAAGGCGAGTTTAAATTTTATTAAATTTGTACCATTAAACCTTAACAAATTGTGGAAGGTTTTAAAATTGGGTTTTCATAGTTACAAATATATAGGCTTTCCAACCAATCCTTTTGTAGTCATTGTTTTAGCTGAGCAACGTAAAAAATTATAGAGCCTGCGAAAACATCGATGGAGAAAATTTCGAAAAAAATGAATTCAATCTCAATTTAAATAAGTCATTTAATATTGTACGTACTTTCTATTCTACTGGCTGTTTGAACATTTAAACGCTGTGAGAAGACTTGCATTTTTCGTTTATATTTAAGAAAACCTACCAAAGTTTAAATCATTATATGTATGCATTTTTAAAATTCTTTTAAAACAGACATGTTAAGAATTCAATGGGTAAAGGGATAAAAGCTAGAATGAATTCTTGCACCCCCCCCCCCCCTCCCCTGGCTATAAATTTACATATAAGTGATTCAGACCCTTTAAGTAAATTGTTTTGTTATCTGTTGCAAAATGCTTTAAAGGCCTATGCCCAAAAATACCTAAAATGTAACACAGAAATATATTTCTCAGAGGCGTATTCAGGGAGGGGGGCTTTGGGGGTTCAGCCTCCCCATCCCCCCGGACCAATGAAATCTAGAGATTTCAGGGGGTTGTCAAACCTGTAAAGAAAAAAGTTAAGCCCCTTCCCCTGGACACATTCCTGACTACGCCCCTGGATGAATTTTCGAAATTTTTAAATCAAAAATGTTCATTTTTCTTCTATTACAAATGTTGGACTAATCGATTTTGTCCTTTTCCCGTTTTTGGAAAAAAACCATCTATTTAAAAAATATGAAAACTGAGAAGCTGCTGTGATTATTGCTTTATTACATATATATACATATGATTAAATGATTGTCAGGGGTATGCGGGAAAACATATATCAGATCATCCCATTTATGCATATCAATATATTATCTACAATAAATATGTATATATTGTAATATTTGTCTGCAGGGTATAAAATGCTCCAAGCTGAATGGGCCTATCTAGAACTAGAATAGAACCAATGATTAAGTTTAGATCTGATAAGCGTGGTCCCCAGGGCGCTTTACGCCCCTTATTCTTATGATAACTTATATAACTTATTTGCTTTACTATTTTCTGTATCGATTCTAAATCAACAAAAAAGAACATTTCCCGATTGTGTTCAGTAAAATTAAAAAACCAAATCTGACCATCAGGGGAAGAAAGTTCAAAATGGTGATTTGTTAAGTTTGGACGAAATGTGAAAAGTTATCTTTTTTAACTTCTTTACTTGAATGGAATTGAGTCTTTGCTCCAAACTCTGAATTCCCAATCTCTATATCTTTTCAACTCAATGTCGTAGACCTTAAATATTGTTAACTAGGAATTCTGTTAGATCAAATAATAAGTTTTAGATACCAAGTGTTTACACCATTAGGTTTACAAGATAAATGGATTAGAAAATTTGAGTTTGTGGCAAAGACTCAATTCCTTTGTTCTGATGCAGCACCGGAAGAGTTACTGAAACGTTCATCATAATACTCAGGGTTAGGTTTGGAAACATAAGCACGGTTTTGACTTTATTCCCATAAAACAAGGGGTCCAGTGCCCCTTTAGTGAAAGGCACATTTTGCAACATTTAAATTCTTTTTAAAAATTGTTTGTACAGGTGAACCCGTTCCAGCCCAGTCTCTTCATCTTCACTCCAACATTCCTTTCTACCATCAATTGAATGTTTTATTGGTTTTTTAGATTCTTTTATCGAATTCAGATATTTTTTATTTAGATTATTAAAACTTAAACTTTAAACTATTTTTAACAAACTGGCTCAGTTCTTTCATTTTAATTTCCATTTATGCTCGAGTTGAGAGTAACCTAGGATGATCATTTTAGGAAAGTAAAGTCTTCTGTATGTTTCTTTGATTGAGCCAGTTGTTAGCCATGATAAGCCGGGAGGTGCCGACCGTAGCACTAACGATCGGGATGTTCATCTTCGAGCAAACTCTGCCCTTTTTACAGGATTGAATCCTGGGTACTTGTACGTTAGTTAAAAGGTTTTTTTTTAAACTTTCTTCTCCTAAAACAGGACAAAATATAAAGAAACGTTAATAAGACTGAAATATTTGAATCTGTAGGTTCATAAAATTTATTTATATAAACTTTTACACAAATGGTTTAGGTTAAATTTTAATATCACAATTTGGTAAAGCAAAGGTTTGGTCGTGATCAGGGACAATTCTTTTACATTTAAAACTTGTTATAGTTATTTAAAGATTACACAGAAAAGAGATGATTTTATTGATTAACTTTATTTAGAATTAACTCATAGAGCTTGACACAGGCAAAGCATAACTTATTTAAAAGATTGACGAACACAACTGGGGAATTTTAATTGTTAAATAAACTAAAAAGAGATCTTTTTACAGATCTTTTAAATCTTTAATTAATTCGTACTATATTATTATTTTTAATAAATATCTATTTATTTCATACCTAGCAATTGATTTTCTTATTTAATCACTAAATCATGCGGAAAACAAAGCAATACTAAATATTTTTGGCATTTAAAAATAGTCCCACCTGGTTAAATTTTTTTTAATCTAGAGAAAATTTGATTTTCATGTTAAAGTATTAAGCGAACCTTAAAAGCTATTTAAAATTTGTCAAACTATAAACCTAAAGAGATTTCTCATTTTGTAAAAATAATCTAAACACATGTTTTGTTAGTATTTGGGTTGTATTTTCAGCTTCTTTTTAAACTTTTTGATATTCATACTACAAGGATTTTTTGGCTACACTTGAATTATTTCTTTAAAAAAAATATAATTCAAAACTTTTTTACCATTTCTCCAATTGTTATCTTAACTATCGATACATTATTTAGATTGTCATCAAAACAAAAGTTTTTTTTTATTTTAGGAGCAATTTCAGTTTTCAGAAAACTAAAGAGACACTTTCTATAATTCTAATTTTCTAATCCTTGTTCAACATATCCATATATTGTTGAAGCCTGATGTTGTAGACTGTAGATATTTAAATTTTCCAGATCAAACAGCCAAGTTTGAAGTATCAAATGTTTGCACTTTTAGGATTAGGAATTTGGAGTTTGTAGGGAAAGTTCAGTTTCCTCTTTTTTTTAAATGTCCATCGTTCAATTTTATTGAGTGTTTTCATTTTTAATCTGCTAGATTTATTTTTTGAATCCGCCATGTTGGATCTTTAAATCGCCATGTTCTGTTCGTAATGTTGGATCTTTGAATCAACTATTTCGGATCTTTGAATCCGCCAAGTTTGATTATTTGAATCCGCCATGTTGGCTCATTGAATCTACCATGTTGGATCTTTAAATCCGCCAAGTTTGATTATTTGAATCCGCCATGTTGGATCATTAAATCTACCATGTTGGATCTTTTGAATCCACCATGTTGGATCTTTAAACCCTTCAAACTGAATCCAGCTGATTTATTCAACTTTCTCCTTGTCGTCTTCAAACTGAACTAGCGCAATGATATGGTCATCTGGTTGAAGCAAGGCTGAGTTGTCAGGGGCTCCCAACGTTACCCGAATCTAAGTAAATTATTAAATATTCATTTTATTTACATGAGATTTTGAAATTTTATACTCTAGCAAAACCTTACACTTACACTACAGTTGGAGGTACATTTTTGGGTTTTCTGAATAGAAAAGAAAGTATTGGAGTCAGATTAGAAAAAGAAAGTATTGGAGTCAGATTAGAAAAAGAAAGTATTGGAGTCAGATTAGAAAAAGAAAGTATTGGAGTCAGATTAGAAAATAAAGTGGTGCATACGTAAGATGGAGAAAAAGTGGTAATTTGGGAAAAATTAAGTTGTCATTCGGGGAAAAATGGGCCAGGTTATAAATTTCAAGTGGTTTGTTTGGAAAAGAAAGTGGTTATAGTTGGGACATTAAAGTGTTTATAGTTAGGAAAATAAATCGGTTACAGTTGGGTACAGTTGGGTACAGTTGGAATATAAAATGGTTATAATTGGAGAAAAGAAGTTGTTATAGCTGGAGAAATAAAATGGTTTAAAATTGGGGAAATAAAGTGGTTATAATTGTGAAAGTTAATTGGTTATAGTTGTGGAACAAATTGGTTATAGTCGGAAAAAAAGGTTATGCCAATATGGAGGAAAAGCACTTTTAAATTAAACCCAATGAAAATGTGATTAAGTAGCGCTGAGATTGGAAATTAATATTGTCCTCAGGGATATAATCATTTTTTTTTACAAAATTACCATCTCTAGGAATATAAATTAAGTTTACCAAATAACTGTCTCTAGGGATATAAAATAAGTTTGATATCCTACCGAATCTATATCGTTGTCCCCATCCAGATCTTCTTCTACTAATCTAGAGAAGAAAAAATTAACAAAATTATAATTTTCATTAGATTCAAGAAAAATAAATAGATGTAAGGTACATAGCTTCCAGGGTGCTTCGCACCAATCTTACATTTTAACTTTTAATTGCTGCTCTGCGTCATTTTCTCCCATAAAATTATCAAACAATAACAAAAAAATTTCAGGGGCTTTCTCTTTGTTTTAGTATATTTTGAAAAATTGAATTTTAGAGAGAAATGTTTTTAAAACTTTGACCATCTGTAAACCTACCCTGGGATATCAACAACAATAAAAAATTACGCTCGATCGGTTCAGGTGTTTGACGTTTATCGATTAAAAAGAATACAAACAGACAAGCAAAGTTTATGTTTATGTAGTCAATGCCGTACTCTTAAAACTTCGTACAGAACTGTATCAATCCAGGTAAACTCGTCAGCTATAGATGTCATCCGGGACACAAACTCTTAAGCAATCAGTGCCAAACCAATGGGCACGGCTCTGAAAGTCAAAACGGACACAAGCATAGCTTTCAAACAAGCTCTTAAACAATAAATGCCAAACCATAGGCACAATTTCATCTGCTCTGAATGTCACACAGGCACACAAGCGTAGCTATCAAACAAGCTTTTAATCGATCGATCTTTAGGCACAATCACAGCTTGTATGTATGTAATGTATATCTTACAGAGGTTCTTTGAAATCTATTTTGATTTCTCAAACTGAGAATTTTTATAGAAAACACAGGACAAGTCATAAAGGGATTAAAGACAACATTTTGATCTACTCTTCATTTAATGATTTAGGTGTCTTATTGACAACGTAACCCATTAAGTCTTTATCAGAGGAGGATATAATTGTATATTTAATTCTGGAAACGTGTAAAATTCTGATAATTAAAATTTGTCTCTCCTACTGCAAAATGGTATGTGAAAAGATGTACACAGAACCCGTAATAGAAAATAATTAATTTTAATATTAAACAAAAAGGAAAACTCAATCAGTTTTGCTCAGACATTGGGGAAAAGAGTACCGTTGTAAATCAAATATTATTATTATTAAGTTTGTTAGTATTATTATTATCACTATTATTATTATTATTATTATTATTAACATCATTATTATATCAACTACCTGTATATTGCTAAGCATTGTGTTCCATTTTCTCTAAGAGCAGCAGCGTACAAATCTCCAAATCTTGATCCGTATTCTGCATACCTATGGTACAACATTGTATATGTGCATAAAACATACTTCATCTAAATAAATATTAATTATTTCTTTCTTTCAAAACCTTTTTAATACTTAACCCTATCCCTGCTGAGGTACTTGAAAACCAGGATATGGTGGGGGGGGGGGTCAATTTGACCCCCCCTCTAAATCCCATGTTTTATGTCCAAATATGACAAATGATACATCATTAGAAAGTTCTTGTGCTCTACTTTTAGAATCTGCAAAAAAATTTGCAAATTTGCAAAAATTGAATTTTTTATCGCAAAATCCAGTTATATAGTAAAAATGTTTGCAAAAAAAAATTTGTCCAAAAAATGAAAAATTATACATTTTTGAAAAGCCCTTGACCATGCCATTTCAAATATGCAAAAAATTTTGCAAAATTTTAAATAACCTGATTTTTAATCATGAAAAACTAAACATGTGCAAATTTCCTTTGACAGGTTGTTTGCAAAAAATTTGCATTTTTTTTTCGCAAAACTTGTGCAATCCGTTTCCTTATGTCATAAGCTTTCCAAAAAGCTAAATTTTATCAAAATCTGACAAATGAAAGTGGGTCAAAACAAAGATTTAGTTTGTTACAGGCAAAAGCAGTCATTCAGGCAGTGTGCCTGAGGGCTCAGGCAGTTAGTATTAAAGCCCGGTTTTAGGCCTAAAGGGAGGGCTTTGGGTATGTAAGAAAAGTCAGAAAATTTCAACAGCCTCAGACCAATACGTTTTGAGTTATCTAAAAAAAACTACAGGGAGGGGGTCAAATTGACCCCCCCCCCCAGCAGGAATAGGGTTAAGCTTTGTTTGCAAACTCTGGTTCATTCAAGTACAGGGCTTACTTTTAAGCAGGCAAAGCAAACTGTAAAGTACACTGTACACGTACAGACTATTAAAGTCAAAACGGAACAGTACATCAAATGAATTAGTCCGTTCTAAGGATATTTTAGTGATGGGGCACTTAAATGATGACATGTAGCAGCAGAACAAAGATATAATCTACATCATATTTTTATACATATATGATATATTAGATTTATGAGTCTTTTTATATGATTTCAAATTTACCTGGCCCACTGACTTTCCTTGAGTACAATCTCCTCTACCCTAACTCTATCCCTGCTAGCCAGAGTAGCTGGTGTGCTATACCCACCCCTTAGCCCCGCCCCCTCGGCTAGACTCTTCTCCAGGTCTATATTTGCTCCTCCAGTCACCCACTGCCGGAGCAATCTCAGGGCTGAAATATAATCAAAATTAATTGAAAAGTAGAAATTAAATGTCATCGCACATGATTCTAGAATTCAGGCAACGAGAAATAGAAAACTAAATTAATTAAAGCAGAGAGCAGAATGGCCATGATTTAGTTCACTGCATGCAGAGTGCACATATATATTTATAATTAATATATATAACATGTACCAGAATTATCAAAATGATTTTAACGTTTTGCACGTTTAAATTTTTCTCTGAAAAAGTGTTAGATTCTAACAATTCAATTGTTCGTCTCTGCTGCAAAATCCACAAGACAACTTTATCGTCGAAATGTCACGTTATCAATTTTACGAGGTTTATGGGGCGTTGTTGCGTTTGAGTTTTTCCAGGTTTAACTAATAGATCGTTTGAAATGGCGTAAAAAATACTTTTATTGGAATAATTCAATCATTAATTTCTTTCGGACAAATTGTTAAAGTTTATATTTTTATTATATCAATATTACTCCATAAACATGGTCATTAATATTAACCATTAATAAGTCGATGCCTGGACCATGAATTAATTGTAAGGATTATGTATGTAGAGAAAGCAATGAATTATAAAGTTAAATGAATAATTTATAATACTGGCTCAAGTGTCCGTGGAATTGAAAAAAATCAAATTAAAAAAATTCCGATCTTGAAAATATATTCGAATATTTTTAGTTACAGAACTGAATATTCCACACAAAGGTTTTTTTGAGTCACTTTTCCTTTCATATTTGCAAGCTGATGGTGTCTATACCTGTAATATTTCAAAATTCGACAATTTCCCATTGACTATTTTTTTCAATGAAATTCTCAAAAAATACAATTTCAAAACATTAAATTTTCAATTTTACACCAAATCTGTGACATTTGTGTAAAGTTTAATGTTTAATTTTCTTTTTATCTTTTTCCTTTTTCTCTTCTGCAAGTATTAAATTTGTATAGAATTGAACAAACATTTCTCTAATCCAATTTATGTTTACAGAGACTGCAATCTCTATTTGAATTGTTGAGAAAGGAACTATATATATATATATATATCTATAGTTCTTGACACATACTCAAATTACATAATCCCTATTTCTATGAAAACTTTAGAATAAGATATCCTTAATCCCGATCGGTTAATTAACCAGAGGCTCAGAGCTGAAAACTTCAGAATGGTGGATATCGAGATCAATGCTTGATCTCCTCTTTTCTAAATCTCCAGATTAAAAATTGCTTGTTCTCCTCTTGATATTAATCTCCAGATTTATTAACTGATCGGGATTGAGGATATTAATTATAAGAGGAGAACAAGCATTACTTAATCACGAGATTAAGAAAAAGAGTGGATCAAGCATTAATCCCGATATCTACCATTCAAAAGTTGCCAACTCTGATGATGTAAACCTGATGCTGTTAATAATATTATCAAGTTGCGAAGAGACAAAGATTTGAAATGAAGAGTTTGAGAAAAGTACCTAATATTGCAGAATGTTCAAGATAATCAAAGGAATTGAGTCATGTCACGAAAATTTAAAAATTTTAATCCTATATTTTTGCAGCCTTGATGGTGTAAATCTCTGATTATTTGATCCAAAATAAATTTGATGTTTGAAATATCAAGGTTAGCAACATTAGTGTTTAAAGATATAGGGATGAAAAAATCTGATTTTAGGGCGAAGACTCAATTTTATTTCGTTAAATATCCCTATCATTATTTTAGAATAAACTGTGAACTAACCTGATGCATTGAAATAGGTGGCAGCCATCAGGGAATCCAGAATACCTCGAGCCATTGCCATACCAGAGGCAAACGGTAGGGTCTTGTACAGTTCAACATCAGACATGTACATTTCATGATCATCTAGTAACAATATAATCAGGGTCTTGTACAGTTCAACATCAGACATGTACATTTCATGATCTAGTAATAATATAATCAGGGTCATGTACAGTTTAACATCTGACATGTACATTTCATGATCTAGTAATAATATAATCAGGGTCATGTACAGTTCAATATCAGCCATGTGCATTTCATGATCATCTAGTAAAAGTATAATTTGTTTAAAAAACTTTGATTTCAAATTTTAAATTTTCTATATAAGGAAGTTAAGAGATTAGAACAAAGTAAAAAATAAATGATTTCAGAAAATAAATTTTGACAATTTAAAATGTTTTTAAATATTTCATTTGCAAAAATTTAAATTTTCAATTTTCTTCCTGTTTTTTATAACAAATTATTTTATTTTATTATATATTATTGGGAATCCAGCGTTGCCCGGGGTAGTCATCGCTAGTTTCACTGTTTACCCGCACTTTGTCGTAAATCACAATTTTACCTTTTTTTCTTCCTTAAAGTTGACCCACCCTAGAACATTCATTTGGATCTCCCAAGTTCCCCAATCAAAATTTGAGGCAAATCGGTCCAGGGGTTCACGAATCATGATCGGAAAAACAAACAGACAGACAAACAGAGATTACTACTTTATATTTTTATATGCAGTTACCTAGATATCTCACATTATTTGCAAAAGCAAGATCTAAGAGGATAGGTATGGATGACATGTTAATATCTCCTGTACCATGCTGGTCCTCCTCCTCCTCCTCCTCCCCCTCCTCATCCATCTAAACAACAGACAGTGAGAATCATAAAACTGTATATCCTCTATATATCTGATGCTTGTATAAAATATAAAGTTTTATCAAAAGCTTGAAAAAAGAGTGTGTTTGCGAAAAATAAGCACTTTTGATCGCTACTAATCTTTTTTATATCTGTTGCGTCTTTAAGGAGAAAATTGATGAAAACAACTCATGCTGAAAAACGTAGCGTCCATACAAATTCAGAAAGTTGCAACATTTAACTCCGATCGTAAAATAATCAATTTAATTCCAAACAAATAGTTCAGAATATTACAAACAATAGTGATCGATTATTTTTCGACGCATTCGAATATAGGTAATATTTAATAATATTTCCGATTTTTAAAATAATATTTCACTGGCAATGGATTTTCGAACATTCCTGGAAAATATGAAAATGTCGTCTTCATTATCAAAAATCCTAAAAACAAGAATAAATGTTTTCTAAAGTAACTATCAGATCATAAAAAATAGGAAATAAATATTATGAAATATCAACTATATACAAATGCGTCGAAAAATTATCGATAATTATTGGTTTTAATATATGCAAATGATTTGTTTGGAATTAAATTCATTTTTTTACGATCCGAGTTAAATATCGTAACTTTCTGAATTTGTACTGACGCTACGTTTTTCGGTATGAGTTGTTTTTAACAATTTTCTCATTATAGACGCAACAGATAGAAGTTAAATATAGTAGCGATCAAAAGTGCTTATTTTTCGCCGTGAGCCAATACCCTTTTTAACTTTTCGCGAACACTCCATTTAAGTCTAACAATCGTCTTTCTATTCCACTGATTTTGGGACCCCCTGTATAAACATTCATAATCCAATTGTGTGTCCAGTATCCACACAATACTGTAGTTAAGTGACAACATCTTGTACCATTCTTGGTTTCCTTGGTTCAGACATTATATAGAACACACAAACAGCCAGTAGTTTAGTTAAAAAAATATCCTTGGGGTTTTTTAATTGTGGTCTGCCATTTTTGGAACTTACTTCAAAGATTAAAGTAATATTAAGAAAGGAACAAAAACAATTTTAAAATCCCTATAATTTTGCAACTAGATGGTGTAATCCTTTACTATTTCAAACTTTGCTTATTTGATCTAACATAATTCATAGTTTGAAATATCAAAGGTCTAAGAAATCGGGTTGCAAATATATAGGGGTTAAAAAATTATAGTTTGTGGAATACTCAGTAAGTCCAGATTACCAGAGATCTCAACAAATAGTGTAGAGCTTTTAGTTTATAGAAAAGAATTATGATTTTTCAACATTCAATATTTTTTTTTATTAAGTCTCTAAATCATTAATTTTTGGGGGTCTTCATTTTTCAGCTAATTTATGTAATCTATAAAAACTTGTTTTAAACATATGTAATATTTTGCTAAAGATTGCAAATTTTGAATCTGTTGTTATGCTTCATAATTCAATATTAAATTTTCTGTTGAATCTTTTAAAACAAATATTTTAATAATTATTTTTGAAATTCAAAATAACAATATTCAATCTAACCTTGACAAAATCTGCTCCAAAGTTCATATTCTTCATGTTAAGTGCTGACATTATAATTTCTTTATCTGCTAGAACAGGTTCACTCTTCTCAGGGGTCTAAAAACAACAGGAGTAAGATGTGCTGCGGCTAGGACATGCTGTGTAAAGTACTAATCTATGTTTGTATGTCTCATGAACCCTTGGACCGATTTGCCTTAAATTTGTATTAGGGTATTCGGTAGAATCACCGGAATGTACCTATCTTTGTTTAAAAATCCAGAAATGCGAGAGTTGACTTTTATTTGGAAATGTGTGTTTCCAATCAAAGCTGGGTTCCCAAGCAATAGGAAATAAAATATAAATAGAAACATGCGAGTTTAGAAAATAGAAAAATACGTAAATGCAGTGAAAACATGGAGTGAGTGAAATAAATGTCTACTTCAATGTTTAGAATTATAACCACCTACTTACAAGAGAAAGGACTTTATTTTTGAAATGTAGAGACTGATTTTGTATTTGTACAGTGATAATAAGAATACTGTAGAATGAGAAGACGACATTAGAGCCATACTGAAGTGCATTCGATGTTTTTACAGACCCATAATTGCTTGTCTATAAAGTTATTAAAATCACTTATTAAGTGTAATGAGTCTGTTTACACAGCACACTTGCTGTGTTTTATTGATCATTGGACTATTTAAAGTCAACTGAAGTCTGGAAGTTGACTTATTATTTCAGAGTTTATTCTAACTTGAATAATGTCGGAATGATAGAAAACGAAAAGTCCTTGAACTTTAGCTACTATATTTATAAAATCCTACCTCTTCAGGTAAATATTTATTGAATAAAGGTTTGCTGTTTATTTTCTACCTTAGCTGAGAGTACAATACAGGTTCTGGACAGGTTGATTTTAACAGCTCTCAGGTCTGCTCGACTCAAGGGATCTCCATCAAGAACTGAGATCTTCGGTAGATTCCGCAGCAGGTACCATTCTCTGCATTTATTATAAATGTATTCATTAATTGTTGAGCCTATGAGCCGCCATAGGCGTTGTGTTATCATTCGAGACTATATTTTTGACGAGATTTGTTGTCTATTGTTTAAACGTTTAAGTTTTTAAATTCAGGTTTAAAAATCTTGAATTTTAACTAAAAAATAACGAAAGTAAACAAAACAACAACAAAAACTTATCTTCCAAATGTTAAAACAAGACGGTTGGATACATAAATAAATATTCTCGATATTCTTTTGTGAAAATCCTCGAAATACAAAAGAAAACTTGCTCTGTTACGTATATTTGCCTTGGAACAAATAAGACACCTTTTATACCCAAGATCATGTAATTTTTGGATTAAAATACAGAATGCAAATTCTCTAAAATTAAATAAATGATTAAATGGCGATTTGATGATTTTAAAACAGCTTTGGAATAAATTTAAATCAATTTTTTTCTCTTACCTCTTGACATAATTAAGTTTTCCTATAATGATGATATGTCTCAGGTCATTGTAAGCAATATTTGAGGCTCGTAGAGGCATCACAAGGTTTCTAAATGCAACAGCTTTTAATGCAAATATACAAAGTATTACATTAAGGAGCCAGTTACTCATCTCAACTTCTAAAATACAATCCCTTATATCTTTGCAACATGAGGGAAAACAAGCTGTCAAAATGCCGCAATGCAACAATGTAAAAATGGATTGTACTGTTTAAGAACCCTTCTTCCTTAGAACAGAACCGTGTCTTCCATTTATTAGAAACTAGCTGAAGTGCCCAGCGTTGCCCTTGGAATAAAAAAAAATTTTTTTTTAAAAGCTGTTTAATTTTTTAGCTTATAATACCCCGTGGTTCCCTTAAAAAATACTAGCCCATTCGGTCCAGCCATTTGGCATGTAAACGAATGTCTTGTTTTATATATAGATCGTTCACCACCTTTCTTCATGCAGTATATCGTGTACTGTACACGCTAAATTTTCTAGTAAAGAACTAAATCAGTAATAAACTGCCTCTTTAAATCAGAGATATATCCGGTTTTGGCCGGTGGAACTATAACCATAGATAAATAAATAAACATAGATAGCTTATGCACGCAAAATCACCAAGAATTGTACAGTCCGCGAACTCATACTTCTATGGGTTAAAGTGTACTTCAATGATAAGCGGGGTGGTTTGGTGTTTTAATGGATTTCATAATAGAGTGTAAAATAACTCCGGGAATGGAACTATTTGAACAACAATATTTCACTGAGCAATATATCATATTGACGAGAACTGAAGAAGGACATGAGAAGGACTAAGCTAACTTAAATTTCTCTCTACAGAACTCATGTACACCACAAGTTCTAAATGACATAAGAACAGCCAATGTTCACAACCGACCTAGTTAATCTATATAATAGGAATATCTCTAAAACATCTCTGTACATTTATATCTTTCAAGATGAAAAATGTCGTCTTATGCGCAATCAATCTTTATCTATATAACACTGTTTCTTGTTGTTCAGTTTCCGTTTCTTACTTTAGTTTATCTGTAAACTGAGAAACTTAGGTTTGCCATTTTTCTGTCTCACCCCGTTATAGTTCTGCACAGACCATGGTCTACTCTGTGGAAAGCGCGAAAGGTGCACTGTATATTGGCAAATTTTTAATTCTGTATTATTTTTTTCGAATTCCTTTTTTAATTTTTCTTGAAAACAGTTTGTTGAAATGAGAGTGAGACGGTTAACAATTCATGGGAAACTTGAATACTTGAGATCCTCATAAAAGTCTTGTCTTGGCTTAATCTTATTTTACAATTTCAGAACAATCCTGGACCAACACAGATTCTTTTATACAGGCTTTCAGAACAATCCTGGACCAACACAGATTCTTATATACAGGCTATCAGAACTATCCTGGACCAACACAGATTCTTATATACAGGCTTTCAGAACAATCCTGGACCAACACAGATTCTTATATACAGGCTTTCAGAACTATCCTGGACCAACACAGATTCTTATATACAGGCTTTCAGAACTATCCTGGACCAACACAGATTCTTATATACAGGCTTTCAGAACTATCCTGGACAAACACAGATTCTTATATACAGGCTTTCAGATCTATCCTGGACCAACACAGATTCTTATATACAGGCTTTCAGAACTATCCTGGACCAACACAGATTCTTATATACAGGCTTTCAGAACTATCCTGGACCAACACAGATTCTTAAATACAGGCTTTCAGAACTATCCTGGACCAACACAGATTCTTATATACAGGCTTTCAGATCTATCCTGGACAACACAGATTCTTATATACAGGCTTTCTTGCAAAAGATAGGCTTCAAAGACAGCCTGAAGTGGAATACCATTAAAGTGGTGTATATTCGATTCAAACATGTTCACATTTTTTTTTAAACGATCGTTTTGTTTTGAAAACGAGGACGAAAAATCGAAAAAGGAACGATCGTATTCATAAACGATGATTTAAAAAAGCCGTTTTTATGAAACTCGTCGTTTCGTTAACTATTGTTAACGATGACCCTTCATTAACGATCGTTAATGACGAATCTTAGTTAACGATCAGTAACAAAGAGAGGAAGTAGAGGAAACTGCATGTAAGACGATATTCAATAAAGTTGCATGTCAATTTTTTTTGGAAAACGATTTTTTCCCCAAAACGACCGTTTTGATAAAGTTCGTAGTTTCGTAACAATGACAACCCTTCGTTAACGATTGTTAACAACGACCCTTCGTTAACGATCGTTGACATAACTGTCAATAAAATTTATTTTTTCAAAAACTATCGTTTTTTAAAAGCGATTGTTTTTAAAAAACAATCGTATAAAAATGGTCGCAAATCGTTTTTATATAAACGATCGTTTTTCAAAACGATTCTTATTCGTTTTTAAAATTTCAAAACGAGTGGGTCGTATTTAAAAACGGTCGTTTTTTTCCGGAAACGACACGATCGGTTTTTAACAGATTGAAAAACGAAAAAAAACTATTGTTAAAAGATCGTTTTCCAAAACGATTGTGTGCATATACTCAAGTGGAATTCCATTAAAGTGGTCCAAGTTCGATTCACCACAACATGTGCCCTTAAACACTTTGTCTAAACGAAACTGACGGAGTATTTTCTATTGTGGTTTTCTATGACAGGCTGACAGCGAATTGCGGATTTTGACAGAAATACAAAATTAATATGAATATTTTGAATATGAATATTACAGTTGTTAATCAGACAATCCACGTGATAGATAGATATATAGATAGATAGATAGATAGATAGATAGATAGATAGATAGATAGATAGATAGATAGATAGATAGATAGATAGATAGATAGATAGATAGATAGATAGATATATAGATAGATAGATAGATAGAAAAATGTTTTCATACTTTATTGAATGAAAATGTGTGTTTGCCAATGTTGCCAGTATTACGAAATTTCTTTATCAAAAATGTTCACCAAAATTACTTTTGGTTTAAATAGTTAATAAGCTGTTTGCAGGGAATTTGGAATTCCCAGAAAACAGCGGAAATTTAGGCTTTATTGATTATTACTCTATTAGCCTAGGGTTTTAAACTTTCAGGATCAATTTTATTCTAAAAATGCTACCAGAATTTACTTTATATCATCTGGAGTTGAGGTAACGGGAGGGGGGGGGGGGAACAAATCAAAAATATTTTTTCCATAAATTTTTTAATATACCAAAACATCTATTTGTATATTTAGAAATTAATTTATAGGGAATTTTTGCAACTCTTAAACTTTTTGAAAGCCAAATTGCAGAAGTTTTGCTAACAAATGTTTAAGACTTATTTGCACACTTTTACTTGTAGTATTTTTTCTTTTTTAAGTCTTCTACTAAAGACGGTCTTTACAAACGTGTCAAGCAATGGGCTTTTTAAAAATATTTCCTAGACCTTTGACATTTAAAACTATGAAAATCAAAAAGTCTAAGTTTTAAATATTAAGGTTTACACCATCAGGTATAAAAGATAAAGGGATTAGAAAATTTTAATTCAGAGCAAAAAAAATTCAGTTTCTTTATAATATTCTGTACAACTTATTTGTAAGCTTTTCTTATAAATATATATATATATATTATGTATCAAAAATAACCTTATTTTAAAAGTCTTTAACAATAATTTTACTTTTGGAAAAAAATAATTTACCTAAGTCCTAGGAGGGGGCTGGTTTCATCAGAAAATATTGCTATCACTATATGCCCAGCAAACATTGTCACAGTCGCCTCTTGTCTAAAAATAATATTTGTCCTTCTTCATCTCAACTCAATCATTTTATTGTCCCTGCTGGAGACTTAAATGCTTTATATTAATAATATTTAAGTTAATGTATTAAACCTTTTACTTTAAATTTATAAATCTAATTATAAATCAATTCTTTCTGAAAAGTTTTGAGGGGTGTCATTAAAAAAAAAATTTTAGATTTTAAAATTTTAAAAACTTTCAAGAAAAAATATTGTATTTATCAGGCACACATAGCTTTATTAATACCTTAATTCATTTTAATTCTTTTAATATTTTGTTTTATGAAATTAAGAAAGTTTATATGTTTTTCAAAAATTGAAAAACAATGGCATTTGTTTAGTTGTTAATCCAGTTAAGAACCTCACATAAAGGTTACAGCTTCAAGCCACATAACATTTCGTCGCTTATTAAATGGATGTACGAGCAATTTCATTGCAATGATGGAAATAATAGATACCCTTGAAAACTTTTCCTTGTGAATGATGTGGATAATACTATTGTTTTAAAGAATATAAGTCACTTATATAGAGAAACTACAGTTAGAAGTAATCAGGTTTCAAAATTATATTCCAATCTAATTCATACTATATGGGACAACATTTTTAAGGGTTCCGTTGGTCATCGGGTATTGTCATCTTTGCATGAAAGATCACTTGAAATTACGCTTACAGTCCCTTTAATATCAAATTCTTAATTCCTTTCTTTCAAAACTTTGTTTAAAATATGGAAGGATATAGAACCTGGTGAGAATACACTCTTCAATAGTTCTACTAGTGCACCAATGGAAACATCCAGTAGAATCATACATCATCTAAACAAAAAAGCTGTTTATTCTTTAATATTTTTTCTATTATTTACAAGCAATTCATGTCAAAGTTTGCTGAGTTTAACATTTCTAAGAGTTTTAAGAGGTTTTTTACAAAATTCTGTTTAAAAAGAAAATTTCGCGATTACGGTTTGTCATTTTATTTGATCCTCCAAGGAGACATTTGAAAAACATTTCATGATTATGAATTATTAAAGAAAAATCTTGTGTTTATAAAATTTGTCTGTTTTGAAAAGTGAAATTTTTTTTTATTTGTGATAATGTTTTATACCTTTGCAGTTTCAGCTCGTGTCTCCTGGTTTTCCTCTACATCTAATTTTCTTCTCCTTGAAACCAAAATATCAAATTCTGTCTTAAATGTCAAAAACAAAAAGTTTGGAAATGAACCCTCAAATAGTGAAGAAAAAAATGTATGCTAAAAATATTAAATAAAAATAAATATATTAGATTCTACAATTTTAAAATAAATTTCACTTAACCCTATCCCTGCTGGGATACCTGAAAATCAGGATACGCTGGGGGGGGGGGGCACCATAGTTTCAGTAGAATTAAATATTTCATTTACTGATAGCACTGATTGAAGGATTCGTAATTCTAATTGGATAATGCGATAGATAGAAGGATAGATGTTACCGCCATACTATTTCTATTGGTTCAGAATAGACACCAAACACATGACTGAATCCTGATTGGATCAGGCGCCAATGGACTTGGTATACAGGAGTGGGGGGGGGTCAATTTTATGCTCTATTTTAAGAATCTTCAACAAAAATTGCAAATTTGCGACATAAAAATTTTCAAAAAATGATAAATTATAAACATTTTTGAAATCCCTTGACCATGCAATTTCAAATATACAAAATCTTTGCAAAATTTTAAATAACCTGATGTGTAATTAAGAAAAACTAAAAATGTGCAAATTTCTTTTGACAGGGTGTATGCAAATAATTTGCAAACATTTCTTTGCAAAACTTGTGCAATCCGTTTTCTTATGTAATATGATTTCTAAAAAGATAAAAGTTTTCAAAATCTGAAAAGTGAAAGTTGGTCAAAACTAAGAAATTAGTTTGTTACAGAAAAGGGAGGGTTATGGGTAATTAAAAAGAGCCAGAAAAACTTCAACAGCTTCAGACCAATACTTTCTGAGTTACGTAAAAAATACTGAAGACANCCAGCAGGAATAGTGTCAACAAATTTTTTTATCTTACATATTATGGATTAAAATATCAAAAGCAAAGAAGTTTGAAAATAAGAGTTTTTGACAATAACTCATTTTTATAAATGTTACCATGATGAACAAAAAAGAGTGAAGCACCCTTGATTTTCAGTTTTTAGAGGTATACTATGTCTTTTTATTAAAAACAGTAATAAGAAACTACAAGCTTCAATATGTTGGAATCTCTTGTTTCTAACTTTGATAATTTGATATATTAAGAATTGTTCTTTAAAAGTTTCTGGAAAGTTTTCTTGTTCTCTTATACAACTGATATGGTTGGTTTCCTAATTATATTAGTACTGGAACTCGTATAACTTTCTTCTTTTAATAACACTTGATGTTTTAATCTGAAAAATAAGCATTTTCATATTTTATTAGTTTTTAAACGTTTTTCTTTGTTGATCTAAAAACTAAACCGATTTTAAAAATTTTATAAGATTTTTTCTGAACAAAACCATAAAATTTTTTTAAAAATTACCCATTTGATCTGTTTTTATCCTTTCCAGCGACATGGTATTCATATCTTGCTTTGGCCAGCTTCTTGCAGGAACATTTCTTGATATCAGCCATCTTTGTCATATTTTCATGACACACCCTATAAAATAAAAAATATGGTATCTGTTTATATTAATACTAGGCATTTAGGGCGCTTCGCGCCCATCTTCTATTAAAATTGTGAACATGTTCTTTTTGTTCACATTTTAAAACAAAGAAGAAAAAAATTTTGCGGACTTTTTAAAACAAATTCGCGGATTTTCAAGACAGACAGACAAGCCAAATTTATATATAGAAGTGATCTCCGTTTGTATGTTAGTTTGTGTGTGTGTCTGATCTTAACTCAAGACCCCAGCACGACCATTTTGCCTCAAATTTTGCTGGAGAACTCTGTCTTTTAGACTCTAAGTTTAGTAAGTTGGATTTTAATTAGGAAATTTAAACTTTTTAACTTTCCCAATTACAAGGCAGAGCTGGGTTTCATCTACATTTTATGAGTTGGAGTAAAAACGTTCTTCAAAATATTTGCGTTGGAAACAGAAATGTAGTTTGGGACCTAGAACCCCAAGAAAAACGCAAAATGCAAGTAAAAATAATAAAACTTAAACCTAACATAATTTTTTAAAATTTCTTATGTAAGAAAGTAACCAACCCCGCTTTTTTTGTGGAGGAATCTTTTTTCCACGGGCAATGCCGAGCCCTTTAGCTAGTAAGCATATAAATATATATACACCCTTATAAATATAAGTTAGGTATATTTTTATATATGTTAGGTATGTAAATATAAATGTTAATTTGTTAACCTGCAATAAAACCAAGCTCTCTTAGCTGAGTCACTGCTGTCTGTCAGAAATAATCCAATTGCATTCGCTGTAATTCTTTTATTCCTAAAACAATGTGGTATGTATCGGAGATGTTCAATAGTGCAGTATAGAAAACGAATTGTTTATCAAAAATTTATTGAAATTATAAATAATGGGCTCTGAAAATCAGTAAATTGTAAAAAAAATCATGAACATTGTCTATATCAAAGAGAACTTTGCTTTTATTAGTTGTGAGTAGATACAGGGTGTCTCACGAAGCATTACAGTTGATGAATTGTTCAGAATGTTTTTTTCCATAATTTCCATAAAATGTTTAATACCACAGAGAATATCGAAAAATACTATATCGCAGTCATAGTGTACAAAATTTGTTTAACCCTATCCCTGCTGGGATACCTGAAAATCAGGATACGTGGTATGTTATACGGTGGTAGGCGATTATGTCGATAAAATTAAGACGCCAATCGATTTCAATTTTGATTTAAATCAACTTTTAAACAGCATAAGGCCGAATTTAAATAATTTAAGCCGCGGCTTAAATATGTTTGGCTAAAATTGTATCAAATGTTTCAAGATTTAAGCCGGCGCTTAATTTAAACCGGGTTTTGGAGGATTTAAGCCGCCGCTCAAATACTTTAAATTCGGCCTATGGATAACCTAATCATGTAAACAATGAGAAGCTGTCATTTAAAAAAAGCTTATATTTATGAACTTGTAAACTTGTAATAAAATAAAGGCTTTTTATACGATTAAAACTGGAATAAAAAATGTATCTTCATTATATTGATTTAATCTCCTAGCACCGTACCTAGTACAGTATATGGAATACGATATTTAAAGCTATTCAGCATCTGTTACGTTTCGTGGGAAACACCTGTACTTCAACCAGAATAAATATACGTTAATAAATATAGGCTGCACTTAATATCCCACAATTGCAGGATAAACTGCCTTTTTAAATCAGAAATATTTGTTTTGGGCTGTTTGAAAGACAGGGTAAAGTCAGTGGATTATGAATCTCGAGAAATTTCACACTTTTTAAAAAGTATTTTCAACAAAGTTTGCCAAGCTTTCCAACAAGTCTAATCCCTAGAGAAGCCAAACTTTGAAACCAAAACCAGAATTTTCAGTTTTAAGAAAATGTTTAGCCAGGGGGGGGGGTAGAAGACATCCTTCTTCAATGGCTTCCGAGCCGCAGTGAAAGCACGAAATCGATTAACTATCCATTTCGAACAACCCCTCAACTAAACATTTTCTATGTGGAACAGCGCACATTTTTTACAACGCTAAGTTTTCATTGAATTTGTACCTCCAACAAGATCATGTTATTTTATTCATGATCCATTTCTTTGGTGCTAAAAAATCGTTCGTTTATTAATATCGTTTGTTCAATAAAACCGTTCTTTCAGTAGAAAAATGATTTTTTCTTCAAAGTTTTGTTCGAATTTTTTAAGAGATTGATTTATATCCTTCGTTTTTTGGACTTTTCAAAAAACGATAGTTTTTCATTTCTCTGAATGATCTATCCAAGTCGTTGGTTCATCGTTCGTTTTATTCTGAACGACACAATCAATTACGAAAAATTTCGTTTGTTCACAATAATTTCGTTCGTTCATGAAAACGATGTCGATCTCTTTTATGCAAACAAAAAGAATTCCATAGTTTTAAAACATCGATAAATAGGTCTTCAATTCTCAGGCTTATTCTCGTATCACCATTACAAGATGTGTTATATCCTCATATTTTTGTCAAAGTCTAAAAATTTTTCTTCAAAAGGAAAGTTTTTGATTGAAGAAAAAGGCTTCGAAGGCTCGTGGTGGAAAGTTTTGGATCAGAAGTTGAAAGGTATTAGATTCTTATATAAACAGAGAAAATACTTTGGGAATTGTAGAAATCTCTTTAAATTTTTTTTGAGAAAAGGCAGCTTCAAATTCAAAAATCTTAAGATTCATAAATTCTTTGATTAATTATTATTATGGAAGGTAAATGATTGTTTAATAAAATTGTAAATATTGATTTTTACAAAAAAAACGTGAATAATGGTTATACTGTAGTATCAATGTAGCACTCTGTCAAAAAAATAGAAACATGAAAACATAGAAACATAGAAACATGAAGATTGTATTCTGATCCTTAATAATAAGTTATAGGATCTAGAAATTGAAAAAAATGTTTTAATGATTTGTAATTCTATAATTTTCTGTTTGACATTCATATATCATTTGCTTCAATATTTCAAAGAACGCCTAACATGTATTTGTTAAAAAGCCTCAATTTTAATCTTTGAATTTTCCTAGCCTAAAATTGCTAATCTAAAAAAAGTAATTTTATTGAGAAAAAAACCTTGGATTGATAAAGATCTGGCCTCCTTCATATTTTCTCTGTTCTACTGCTATCAAGATCAGATTAAGACGAGTAAAACAAATCTCAGCAACCTCCTGAAAAAAAGAATTTTTTTTATAAAAACTAGCTATTAGATAATTTTTTAACATTTATTTTAAACTTGTGTTGTATTTTTTCGCCATATTGGGACTAATTAAAGTTGAAACTTTAAATCGGCATATTCCTTCATGCCATTGTTTTTAGTCAGTAAATTCAAACATTAAAGTTATTTATCTATTTACGATAAAAACCTTCTGTTAAGTATATATATATAAAGGCCTCATAGGCTCATATATTATAGATTAGATTATAGATATAGATTAGATTATATAGATTAGACTTAGGATACTTAGTATCAGGGTTTCTGCTGATGTATCTATCTATCTATCTATAATGTGTCGATATTGGAATCCAATTATATATTATTACAGATAATTACACATACACAAGAACACCTGACCAGATGCGCTTTCTGTGAAGAAATTGAGTTTTTCCACAAACACGACATTTTTAATGCATATATTTTTTCAATTTGTTATGTAAATTTTCGAATTTTTAAACTTAACCCTATCCGGATTGGGCTACTTTTGTCTAATATAGATTGAGGGGGGGTGTTTTCCAAACCCCCCCCCCCCTATGATTTTGTCCTTAGAGTTGAGAAAGGGAAGTGTGATGTATATGTCTCTAGTCCAACTTTTCATTGCCTGCTCATTAAAAAAAATTAGATCTCAAACTTTAATGGTTAGGGAGAATTTTTAAAAAGTTCAAAAAGTATGTAGAACAATATTTTAAAAAATAATAATTTTTACTTTTAACAAATATTAACTATGACACTTATAAATATATCCATTTTTCAAAGCCTTTTCAAATGTACAAATCTTAGTCCTATAGCTTAATTAATAAAAAAGTTATTAACCATTTCTTAGTTTTTTAAAACACCGACCCGCCGTTTGACATTCTCCACCCTACTCTATAAAACAACCAAAAAAAGTTTTTTTAACAAAAATTTTTCACAACTATGATATTGAAAAAGTGAAGAAGTTTTAACGTTCTAATGTATTCCTTCAGAGGCCTACTCAATTTCTTTGTAAGATCTATATTTTTTGTAAAACTAAGACGACATTTCAGCAATAATTTGTGTATGTTATGTTGCTAGAAAGCTTTACATAGTGAAATGGGGTTCGTGTATAACTGCAAAACTTTTTTCCATGAAAATTATTGACTATTTAACATCATAAAAACTATTAAAATTCAAAAAACCAATTCCTGATCAAAAATTACATAGTTAAGGTTTCTGGACTATATCAAAGATATTCTTGATCAAAGATTACATAGTTAAGGTTTCTGGACTATATCAAAGATATTCTTGATCAAAGATTACAAAGTTAAGGTTTCTGGACTATATCAAAGATATTCTTGATCCAAGATTACATAGATAAGGTTTCTGGACTATATCAAAGATATTCTTGATCAAAGATTACATAGTCAAGGTTTCTGGATTATATCAAAGATATTCTTGATCCAAGATTACATAGATAAGGTTTCTTCAAAGATATTCTTGATCAAAGATTACATAGTCAAGGTTTCTGGATTATATCAAAGATATTCTTGATCCAAGATTACATAGATAAGGTTTCTGGATAATATCAAAGATATTCCTGATCAAAGATTACATAGATAAGGTTTCTGGACTATATCAAGGATATTCTTGATCAAAGATTACATAGATAAGGTTTCTGGGTTATATCTTTTAGAATTTCTGTCAAAGAATTCAAAGATAAGGTTTCTGAACTGTAGCTCAGATAGAATAATAATAATGAAAATAATCTGATTTTAAAGGGACAATCGGCGTAATCTTAACAGATGTCTAAGTAAAAATGATGAAGCTATTTTAATTTTTTTTTTAAATCTTAAGTTAATATTTTTGTGAAGATGTTTTTTTAATATTATAACGCTTTATCTCGATATCCAAAGTGGGCATTAAATCCCTGCAGGGTATATAATGCCATGTGTAGGGATATCTAAGTGGAATTGAATTAATCCTTAAGGTCTGCATCAGATAGAGATCAATGCTTGATCCCGGAATTCAAAATACAAAAGTTAGGACCTCCATGAATATTTTTCGATTGCGGTTCTTCTATAAAAGTTTGCAAAACAAGGATGAAAAAACGACCATAGTTTCCTTATTTCTTTTTCAGTGAAATATTTGAAGGGAACCACTGCATCCTGGGTTTGTTGCTCTAGTGTTCTCAATAGTCCGATATTGGAAGGTTTAGCATTAAAAAGATAAAACATATAAAAGAATGTTTATCTAGACTAAAGAATTTGTTCTAATCCTAAACACTTGTTACACAATATTTTGAAGGATATTCTATTTGTAAGACTGGACTTTTCTTGATTTTCTTTGGTAAAAAAAACGAACAATTTAAAATCGTTCAAACTAACTTGAAAAAATTATCCCCGAACAAAGGATTTTTTCCAATAAACTTTTGAACAAAAACATTTTTTTACCGAACCAACGCTATCCTTTAACGAACGATTTTACTGAACTACCGTTCAATGAGAAAACGAACAGAATAGATAGAAAATTAAAGATTATTTTGATAACGAATGAAATTACTTTTTTAGAACAATTGAACAAATCACGAACTGGGCTGTTCACGAACGATAAACTAACGAAATGAATAAAGTTAAATATGCCCATCTTCAGTTCTATGCGTTCGTTATTTTTTTGGAACGATGGAATCGTTCTTGAAAATTTCATTCGTTCACGTGAAAGAACAATCGTTCTCCAGGAAAAGAAAAATCGTTCCCCTCTGCACAATATTTGCGAATATTATCTTATCCTCCCAACCTTTGAATCTTGTCTGAAGACTTAATTTATGTTTATACAGTGAACCCTATTAAACTGTGGAAAAGAATGACGACATTTGAGAAATTTAATGGTTGATGATGTTTTAAAGCAAATAACTTTATAAGTAGCTTTAAATGTACTTTTTCAATGAAGTGGGTCTGTTTAAAGGGAGTGACCGGCTTTGTAAAGTAGTGTATTAAATAATAACAACGAAAAATAAAGTAAAAAAATATACAGTAATCTAATTGGATGGTTAGGAACATATTTCTCAAAGAAATTTGTCAAAAAATCAATGCTAAAATCAATTATTTCGTTTTCATTATTATATTAAATTTCTAATTTTCTTTGGATTTATTCGCAGATTTCTTTAAATTCTTCAAATGTCCTCTTTTTAATAATAATTCTAGAAAATCTGCGAAAATTTTGTAAATAATGAGAAACCAGAATAATGAGATAATAGAAACTAATAATTGAACAATTAATTTTTATTTTCTCAACATGTTCCTATACATGACGTCTGTAATTTATTGTAGAACTTTTTTACATTTTATGTCGGCGTTATTTAATAATTTAAAAAAACTAATTCTGAAAACGTAACCACCCCAAAATAGGAGTTTTGAACATCGAATTTTCGCTTAAACTCAGGATTTACAGATCTATAAAAAGTTTAATATGTCTCAAATGAATCCGAAAGAAGCTTTCCACAACACTGCATATCCAGTTTAACTACTTTACATAGCCGGTCACTCCCTTTATACTGCACAGTTTCCGTGTTCCATATGTTTATTGAATATTTGCAATATCAGTCGAATTTTATATTTAAAGATTTCATGAAATGTTTTCTTTTGGTATAGAATGCTATTATGCTTTCAATCTATTTTCTAATCAGTGCAATCAACACAATGTTATCAAATAAAGGAAAAATATTACCTTTCATTCATACCAAACATAAACATTAAACATGGAATTTGGATGGGGGGGGGGGGGAGTAGAAAGAGGGGCATTAAATTACGAATAATAACAAATTTTTGAGAGAAAAGAATAAGTATTAGCTTTACTTCTTTAGATTTTTGTTTCAAAATAAATAAAATATAATTAAATATTTCTATTTTTCTACTCTAGTCTACACTATTTTGTTAAAACAATAATTTTCAAAATGTTGTCTTGACAATTTTTAATGGGTTTTATACTATTACACCTAAATCTCAGTAATGTTGAAAATAAATAAATAAATAACCATAAAAGATGCGGGAACACGTTCAAAATTCAGAGACTCCAAAGGAATTGAGTCTTTGGAACAAATTCAAATATTTAAACCTCAATATCTTTAGAACCCGATGTTGTAAACCTTTGATATTTTAAACTCAGATTATTTGATTTAACAAAATTCACAGTTTGAAATATCTAAGGTCTACAACATTTAGTTCCAAAGATATAGTAAATATAAAATCAGAAATTGTGGAAAAAACTCGATTCCTTTAAAATAACAAATGGTAAACATGTTTTTAAATGTTTTGAAGTAACAACGTTTGCCAAAGTAAAACCTTATATTCCGTATAATCATAAACCAACTTTTCAAAGGCAGTTCATTGAAACAAAAATTAAACCGCTTTAATAGTTTGGGTGCAGGAAGGTTTGAAAAAATTTAAAAAAGTAACTTTTTTTTAACAAATATTTAGATGTTACATATATATACATATCTATTTTACAAGGTTTTTTCAAAAAGGAAATTTTTTTTTTCATGGACCGGACTTATTACTGCCCTGTAGCCACTAGCCAACCATATACATCAAAAAACATTTTTCAAAAATCCTTTAAATTACTTTTCCTGAAAAAAAAATCCAGGTGATGGTGTCAAAAATGAGAGTGCAAGGGGAAAATACATGGTTTAGAGTTTCCCCCTTGGGGAATATTCTTAAAGAAAGGAAATAATTAATTAATTCTATCCCTGTTCTAAAAGCATAAACCTTATCCATATTCTCAATAAATTATTTAAAGAAGGGCGGAAAGGAATTATGTTTCAACTATGTAAGATTTACATTATTAGGATGCAAAAATATATATGGATGGACTAGATAATTTAAGTTTATAGCAAAAACTCAAATATTTAATGGAATCTACTCCTGTTGGCGTATGCCATCCAAAAAGCAAGAAATATACACAACTTTCACATTCAATTCCCGGAGTGAGTTTAAACGTGAGTTAGGTTTGGCATAACACAAAAATTGAATTCTATGATAAGTAAGTTTGTCTGAGGTCTCATAGATGTATGTTACGTAAAACTAAATTCAACGAAGTATACATTCAGTCACGTAAACGTTGGCCCATTTCTGTCCGGTACATAAAATTGAAGTCTGTCCGGTACATGAAATGGAAGTCTGTCCAGACTTCCATTTCATGTACCGGACAGACTTCAATTTTATGTACCGGACAGACTTCCATTTCGTGTACCGTAGAGACTTCCATGTCATGTACCGGTAGGGTTGTTAATCGTTTTTGAAAACGATCGTTAAACGATCGTTTTTTGTTTCGTTTTCAAAAACGTTCGTTTCGTTTTCGGAAAAAACGATCGTTCTTAAAACGACCCACTCGTTTTGAACTTTTAGAAAACGAATAGCGATCGTTTTTGAAAACGATTATTTTTATTAAAACTATTTGCGACCGTTTTTTATACGATTGTTTTTAAAAAACGATCGTTTTTGAAAAAACGATCGTTTTTGAAAAAAAATTTAATTGACAGTTATGCTAACGATCGTTAACGAAGGGTCGTCGTTAACGATAGTTAACGAAAGGTCGTCGTTAACGATCTTTAACTAAGGGTTGTTGTTAACGATCGTTAACGAAACGACGAACTTTATCAAAACGGTCGTTTATGGAAAAAAATACATGCAACTTTATTGAATGTCGTCTTACATGAAGTTTAACAGTTGTGGGGGAGTTAAATCTCCTTGATATTTTCTTTAAAACTACTCAATGATAAGAACAGATGCCCTTCAGGTCGGCTTACTCTCTTCGTTAACGATCGTTAACGAAGGAGTCGTCATTAACGATCGTTAACGAAGGGTTGTCGTTAACGATCGTTAACGAAGGGTCGTCGTTAACGATCATTAACGAAGGGTCGTCGTTAACGATCGTTAACGAAACGACGAATTTTATAAAAACGATCGTTTTTAAAAACGAGCGTTTAGAAAAACGAGCGTTTAGAAAAACAATCGTTTTAAAAACGACAATTTTTGAAAAACGAACTTTTTAAAAAACCGATCGTTTTAAGAAAGATCGTTTCGTTTTCGATTTTTCGTCGTCGTTTTCATAACGAAACGATCGTTTTTCTGAAAAATGAAAACGTCAACATCCCTATGTACCGGAAAAACTTCCATTTCATGTACCAGGACGGACTTCCATTTCATGCACCGGATAGACTTCCATTTCATGTACCGGACAGACTTCTATTTCATGTACCGGACAGACTTCTATTTCATGTACCAGACAGACTTCTATTTCATGTACCGGACAGACTTTAAATTCAATTTTTGCAAATTTGCAAATTTTTTTGCAGATTCTAAAAGTAGAGCACAAGAGCTTTCTAATGATGTATCATTTGTCATATTTGGACACCAAACATGGGATTTAGAGGGGGGGGCTCAAATTTACCCCCCCAGCATATCCTGGTTTTCAAGTACCCCAGCAGGGATAGGGTTAAAAAAGCAGTACAAACCTGTTTATATAGTCCAACAAACAGTACAAACCTGTTTATATAGTTCAACAAGCAATACAAACCTGTTTATATAGTCCAACAAGCAGTACAAACCTGTTTATATAGTCCAAAAAGCAGTACAAACCTGATTATATTGTCCAACAAGCAATACAAAACTGTTTATATAGTCCAACAAGCAGTACAAATCTGTTTATTTAGTCCAACAAGCAATAAAAACTGTTTATATAGTCCAACAAGCAATACAAACCTGGTTATATAGTCCAACAAGTACAAACCTGTTTATATTGTCCAACAAGCAATACAAAACTGTTTATATAGTCCAACAAGCAGTACAAATCTGTTTATTTCGTCCAACAAGCAGTAAAAACTGTTTATATAGCCCAACAAGCAGTACAAACCTGTTTATATAGTCCAAAAAAAGGATTACTGATAAAAAGAAAAAAATCCTGTAATGTTTAGATGGTTCCAAAGCTAAGACGTATTAAAACCCCTGATTTACTGTGCTTGCCTATATATAAGCAGGAAAGGGTAAAAATCTGAAAAGGTTTATCTTAAACCTGAAATCCTAAGGGATTAGTTATGTCTGAAGGCTAAGCAAGATGAGATAGAAGGAGAAGATTAATTAGATCAAAGGATACTTACAAATGGGCACATTTGCACTAGACACAGTTATTAATAATAAGAAAAGAAAATTTCTACAGTAAATTCCAAATATATGAATACATAGACGGTCATAAGTTTTTCTAAAGAAACATCTTTTTATTTTTAATTCAAGGTAAATTAATAGCCATAGAGAATAGAATATATAGAAAGGAATTAAAAGAATCTCTCGGTATGAACTTTTTCAGTCCCTTTCAGCCTGAAAGGGAGTTCAAAGTGTACAAATTATGTAAATGTTCACAAATTTCTGTGTTGTAG